TCTGCTCTGCTCTGCTCGCGCGCCGACGCGCGACCGCTTCCCGCCACAGCCGGGAACACGATTTAGCCGTGCATCCTTCACGGCTCTCGGCCACTAAATAATATTATACCTACTTACACATGCAAGAGAAATACCTTGTGCTGATGTTTATATAAAAACAGACATGTAGGTCCATAAAAGTGAGCAGAGATCCTTCATTGTTGCATCAATGTTGAGGGGGCGGCGCCCACTCGGCTCTCAAGTTGGAGGGGGGGGGGCAAGCGCCCCCACTGCCCCCCCCCCCTGTTCCCCGGGGTCTATGCAGTGAACGACGCTACAAAAAAAAACATGTGACACCTAATAGCAGGCACTATAAACATGCGCTCGTACGTATCCCGTCAGACCAGGACGGGGATCGGGGGTAGTAGGTACTATGCAATATATGATTATGTACATTAACACAGAACTATTTCCTGCTTTAAGATGCATAACATCACATTTTCACCAACATTCTGAGTGCCAGACAAGCCAACAGCAAGGCGTCATTTCGGTAAAATGCATTTTATGATGATCGTAAGCTCACAAAGCATAGCGGGCGTGTTAGTTCAAAACATTGCCGCTAGGGGCGCTGAGGTCGCTAATGCTGAGAGATAGGCCAAAGTGTCGGCGGTCGGCGCCGCATGGGTGTTAATATTTGGGGGAAATAAAAAATGTCACACGGTTTCTACGTGTCTGGGGCACGATAAAATCAGTGGAGCACCATGTTTTGCGAAAAAAGTGCCCAAAATGACACACCCTACTATGTAGTGATTTTCAGCGGAATCCTAGGGGTCCGGCGAATCTGTCGCTGGAACTTTGCTGCCCTCTAGCGGGAAAATTATTAGGTGTAGGGTTTAACGGATTGCACCACGCGACTCTACGCCCCAAGTTACCCCTATATAGGGATTTTCAGCGGATTCCTAGGGGTCCGGCGAATCTGTCGCTGGAACTTTGCTGCCCTCTAGCGGGAAAAGTATTAGGTGTAGGGTTTAACGGATTGCACCACGCGACTCTACGTCACAAGTTACCCCTATGTAGGGATTTTCAGCGGAATCCTAGGGGTCTAGCGAATCTGTCGCTGGAACTTTGCTGCCCTCTAGCGGGACAAGTATTAGGTGTAGGGTTTAACGGATTGCACCACGCGACTCTACGCCCCAAGTTACCCCTATGTAGGGATTTTCAGCGGAATCCTAGGGGTCCGGCGAATCTGTCGCTGGAACTTTGCTGCCCTCTAGCGGGAAAAGTATTAGGTGTAGGGTTTAACAGATTGCACCACGCGACTCTACGCCCCAAGTTACCCCTATATAGGGATTTTCAGCGGATTCCTAGGGGTCCGGCGAATCTGTCGCTGGAACTTTGCTGCCCTATAGCGGGAAAAGTATTAGGTGTAGGGTTTAACGGGTTGCACCACGCGACTCTACGCCCCAAGTTACCCCTATGTAGGGATTTTCAGCGGAATCCTAGGGGTCCGGCGAATCTGTCGCTGGAACTTTGCTGCCCTCTAGCGGGAAAAGTATTAGGTGTAGGGTTTAACGGATTGCACCACGCGACTCTACGCCCCAAGTTACCCCTATATAGGGATTTTCAGCGGATTCCTAGAGGTCCGGCGAATCTGTCGCTGGAACTTTGCTGCCCTCTAGCGGGAAAAGTATTAGGTGTAGGGTTTAACGGATTGCACCACGCGACTCTACGTCCCAAGTTACCCCTATGTAGGGATTTTCAGTGGAATCCTAGGGGTCCAGCGAATCTGTCGCTGGAACTTTGCTGCCCTCTAGCGGGACAAGTATTAGGTGTAGGGTTTAACGGATTGCAGCACGCGACTCTACGCCCCAAGTTACCCCTATGTAGGGATTTTCAGCGGAATCCTAGGGGTCCGGCGAATCTGTCGCTGGAACTTTGCTTCCCTCTAGCGGGAAAAGTATTAGGTGTAGGGTTTAACGGATTGCACCACGCGACTCTACGCCCCAAGTTACCCCTATATAGGGATTTTCAGCGGATTCCTAGGGGTCCGGCGAATCTGTCGCTGGAACTTTGCTGCCCTCTAGCGGGAAAAGTATTAGGTGTAGGGTTTAACGGATTGCACCACGCGACTCTACGCCCCTAGTTACCCCTATATAGGGATTTTCAGCGGATTCCAAGGGGTCCGCCGAATCTGTCGCTGGAACTTTGCTGCCCTCTAGCGGGAAAAGTATTAGGTGTAGGGTTTAACGGATTGCACCACGCGATTCTACGCCCCAAGTTACCCCTATATAGGGATTTTCAGTAGATTCCTAGGGGTCCGGCGAATCTGTCGCTGGAACTTTGCTGCCCTCTAGCGGGAAAAGTATTAGGTGTAGGGTTTAACGGATTGCACCACGCGACTCTACGCCCCAAGTTACCCCTATATAGGGATTTTCAGCGGATTCCTAGGGGTCCGCGAATCTGTCGCTGAACGTCAATGTCAATAATTCGCTAAGTATACAGACGTCGCTGCGCGAGGGTGGCGCTAGTGTAGTAAGAGGGATAGCGAACCCGGCGCGCATGAGACATTCAGGCTTGTATACGTGTTGTTGTTTTGGTGTAGGGCGCATAGCCTCTTGGGCTCAGAGCGAGGCTTGTATACGCTTTGAGTGCGGCGCGCAAGATAGGAACATTAGTTTTTTTAGGGTGATTAAGGAGGTTTGAGTGGGACTTTACAGCATTTTGATCATTATTTTAAAAGTATTGATATTCGCGCTTTTGTAAGGCAGAATAGCCACCGCTCACATCAACACACAGCGAGGACAAGAATCAATCAAGAGTCAAGGTTTTATTTTTGATTCTAGAAGAAGACGGCGAGGTCTATGTTGATGTTGTAGCCCACCAAGATAACAGCCCACATCTTTTTTAATTTACATGTTCTCTTGCATCAGTCTGGTTTCACTTGGGCCAATCTTGTCGGTCTGCTTGATGTTTCTCATATCTTGGTTTATATAGATTGGAATTTGAGTTAATCTCACTCTGTTCGGTTTTGTACGGTAAATAGTTGGTTGAGGTCACTGCACTCATGGAGCTGATGGAGGATTTTGTGAGTCTCGTCTCCCCGTTGTCTTCTCTCTTCTAGGGGTGGTAAGCTTAAGCCGACTCAGCCGTTCTGGATACTTTAACCCTTGCATTCCCACAATTCTTCTGGTAGCTGCTCTTTGAACTGCTTCACTCTTCTTGATATTATATTTTTTATTAGAGGACCATACTTGGGGGCAAAATTCAACATGAATTGTGAGGGCGAACAAATGTTTTGTATGCTAGGCTAAACAATGCCGGACTCAGCTTTTCAAATGTTCTCCTTACCAGTTACCATGCCCCAGCTGGCATATGGTCGTTGAGTGCATAATTTAACCCTCGTCCGTATTGGTGTTTTTCCAGCCGCGAACGTATTATAAGGGGGACCGTTTGACCCCCCCTTGCCGTTTCGCCCCTGATCGAGCTAGAGCTTCGCGGAAAAAGAGTGTGTTGCCCGTGACGAGAGGAAGCCGATGATACCCTACTTTAAGGTCCTAGGTCATCGATTGACCTTCCAGGTCAGGTCAATGACCCAATAGTCGGGAAAATTGGGATCCGTTTGAACGTTGTAATGGGTAGCTGCTATCAAGATTCCTTTACTACACAATGGGGCTCCAATGGGTTTTTTTTTTTGGGTGCTGATCACGAATATCATGTTAGTTTTGATTACAGGTGATGCCTGCATGCATTTAGGCCAGGTGGGGTCAGTTCAGGTCAGGACAACCAGTAGAAGTCCTGCCGAGTATTTGTAGTAGGTGTCAACCGCCTCTGACATCTTCGTTACATGCTACGAAGGCACCAAAACTACATACTTCGTAAATGTTCATATGGTTGCTAAATTCGAATTCAGCTCCAAAAACTAGCCTAGAAACATGCAAAACTTGAAAGTGAATCGAGGTCATCAAAGGTCAGTGACCTGACCTGACCTTCAGGTGACCTTGTCATCCACCCTAATGCATGGGACATCATATCACATGTCTGAACACTTGAAACCACGAAAAGACTGCAAACGCGCGGCTAATGCGAGCCGACATACGCCGAATCGCGATTCCCGTCAAACATGGTTTCGAAAAGTAGGTCACAGGTCAATGGTCATTTGGGTCAGGGTCATGAAATTTTCAGGGTAGGTGTTAAATTGACTAAAGCGAGGGCACTGAAAGTTTCGTCGCGATCGACCGCTTTTTGCGCGAGTATTTCGCGGAAAACTGAGGGGGGTCCGTTCGACCCCTCTCCCCTACGGGGGAGGTCGAACGGACCCCTTAACACCCTAACGGGCGAAGGTTGATACGTTTGTTGAAATCTAGCGAGGAGTCAACAATAACACCTCGGTCTCTTTGTTCGTTGGTGTTCTCCAGCTCAGTACCACCAAGCGTGAAGATGGGCCTACTATCGGACATCATTTGCTTGGCAGGTACCTATTCGAAGAGTCTGACACTTTGAGGCATTATAGACCATATCATATCTGCTATGTAAACTTCGTAATCAACCCCTTACAGCCTTAAGTTCCCACACTCCTCCCCTCCACCGTACTCCCGCCGTGTAACTACGTGCGCGTCGCCGCTCGGCATCACTCTTCCTCCTATGCAAATTCCTGCCACCAGATGTCACCCACTTCGCTGTCTCGAGGCGAATAGCGGTGTGCCTATTGAGCATTGGGTTTAAATTTTATTTTTGGTCGGGTCCTGTAAGTGAACTGTTTGTCATATATGACATTTTTATGACTATTATGTGATTTTTGGGCATGTGATTACTTCGCAGTTACAACAAGCAGAGCTTGTGACGGGCGCACTGTCACAATTTTATTTTGAAACAGTCAAAATATTCTGATTTATGCATTGGGTTTCAGTTTTGGGATTTGTTGCGACAAAATTTTATTTTCTGTTGATCAACATGTAATCTGAACTGATAGAGGAAAAGCACTCATCAAATTCATTTCATTTTGTGTTTGTTCAAGTTCACAGCCATAGTTGTTCACTAATTACAAATTTATACGTTGTTGTTGTGTCCATGCTCCACGAGTTCCACTTTATGCTCCACTCTTGATACTCCTCATTTCAGACAAATTGAAATGAAATCTGCTCGCTGTGAAGATGTATGTATAGTTGCCAAATACGCATTTATGATATTGATCAGGGCCACATGTTCTGTAGATTTTTGGTGAATCTGACTCAACTTCAGCTTGGACTCCTCTGCCCTAGGATTGATAACTTACATGGGTCTTCTTTTGTAAGCACCTCTTTTCCAAACTCCAAACCTTTATTGTCACAAAACATTGATATGGTAGGCATATTTGTTGTATTGACAAAGGCATGAATATGAAAATCTAACCATCAGTACAGGGTGGGGCAGCATAATCGGGAATGCTTTTTGGGCTCTGGTCATGAGTAGGCATGGCATTATTTTGATAAATTATATCATGGCAATGAAACGCCCAAAAGTTGTGCATCATCTGACATGACTACATCCATGAGCATGCAACTTCCTGGAAAAGAGCAGCAAAATAGTTCGACGGTGCTCCAAGTGCTTTGCGCGCGCCCATAGACACTAATGTTAAACGAGTAAAACAAGAACATTTTGTTTAAAACAATGCCATTCCACGTAAAGGTTGCTGGACAGGTCAACGTGTTATCACGGACGATAAGGATTGTGTGGGGATACTTAGGACAAAAAGTTAACGTAATCGTCGTAAAATAACTCTTAGCAGAGGACATACAAGATGACTCACTTGAATATAAGGAAGAAGCTCTTGAGCATATTAAAAAGAAACAATGTTCAAAACTTCAGCGACCAAAAATCTTATCACCGACTGGAATACGATAAAAAAGAATGGCATGCCATATAGGGGATTGTATCGAGAATATTGCAGCGGTCATGCAAAGTAAACATCCTGTTGAGGTGATGGACCTATGGGTGGTCTTCAAGGGAGGTGCACGTGGTGCACCCTACTTCATCGAGCCCGGATAAAACGAGCACCTCTGGTAAATACATCCACACTCTGGCAGACTCACGTGGAGTCGTCGGAAGAGAGGATCACTGACGGTCCAGATCACGTCTTACGAGGACTCTGTCCGTGCTGGTACTGCAGTGAGGACGACATGTTATTGTGTAGGGCACCTCCACCTGAGATGAACCAAAAACTTCTGGTCCTTCAACTCCGCCGATTTAAATCCGACCAAATTCTTTATATGGAGCGTTTTTTGGTAGAAGTTTAATGAACAACTTATCATCAGTAAAAACGGTCTTCAGTGCAAGGTACGAAGCTGATGGGCGATCATGGACAAGCAGGAGGCTGCACGTGCATGCGCGTGCTTTTGGACCCGCCTTGAGAAGGTCATCGACGCGAAGGGCGGTCAAATAGGATGAGGGATAGGTAAAAGGTGACCGATTGATGGGATGTTGTTAAAATAGTGCTTGGAGCTATATTTTTAAATTCATGACCAAATAATCCCGTTTGATATTTATTCCCGATTATGCTGCCCCACCCTGTAGCTGCATCAATACACATCAAATATATTAACAGCATACAGAATGTTTTATCCAACTTGTAATACCAAATGGCCTTATAGGTTATAGGTAGCATTTAGCCTGTTTGAATTTATTTTTAATGGGGATAGTCAGAATGCCTCTAAATTAGCTTGACTATATTTTTCAGCCAACTTTTGCCTGCTGGGACCATGCAGGCTGCGATCGCCGTGCGAAGAGTGCTCGGCGCGAAGGCTGGCCTTGTGCGACTGGGGCGCCATCTGTCAATGCAGGTGGCGCCACCAGTCGCTGAGGCATTGAGAGCAGGCGATGCCGTCGTCGCGCTAGAGTCCACCATTATCACACATGGAATGCCCTACCCGCAAAATCTGGAGACAGCTGAACGAGTGGAGGAGATCATCAGAGAGCAGGTAAAATTAACATGAACTGAGTGTGACACATTTCCAAAGAGATTCACATCTTAGAACACACTGCCACACAGCTGCCTTTGTTGCCTGCGAGAGATTGTTGATTTAAATTTTAATTTTACACATCCCAAAATCATTTACACTGATTTCAAAGCAACTTGCAGTGGAGCTTCATTGAAAAACCTCGAGAAATACTGCTTGGAGTTATGACTTTATTCTAGGAGTTGCTCAGTTTTGAAACATATCTTTTTTCATATAGAGACAGTTCTGTTGCAACACACAAGGTTTACCACTTTCCACTATAATCTTTGCCGGTAGTGGCGATTATTTCAGTGGCAAATTCGCAATTATTTCACCTTCGCTTTGTTTGATGCAGCCTCACACAGTTACATGTAATCATGCGCGCATATTTAAGATGCATGCACATTTTACATCCTTGCTTTTCAGGCATGTCGGCATGTAATAAATGCCTACCTCTCACTCGCAGTACGAACCGCCCCGCACCGCCGCGCCGATCAGAGTCCCGACGAGGGACTCCGCCCGCCCCTCGCCGGGTCACGTAACGGGTCACATGAGAAATCATGCTGTAGGACTTCCAAAAACCTACATCCACATTGCACATTTTCCCAGTTACGCTTGAAGTGCTTGCCGGGTCTGAGATGTTCAGTATTGTCAGACATATTTATAAAATCCGGTTTTAATATACTCGTAAAATCTGATTTAATGAAATCAGATGTCCGATATACCGTGACTAACTCGGACCGAAGTGTTGGCCGGCGTGGCTCTGCGACCCCCCGTCTCCTACCCTCTGTGTGTGACAGGGCGCCGTACCGGCCACCGTGGGTATCCTGGGCGGTCAGCTGCACGTGGGCCTCAGCCGTGCACAGATGGAGCGACTGGCGCGCCACGAGAGACCCTGCGTCAAAACGTCGCGACGCGACCTGCCCTGTGTCATGGCCAAGGTGGGTCATTGTGCCAGTGGAAGCGGGCGCCGTTTCGTTTGCGCCATTAGGTGGGTTGTATGTTCATTGTTCGAGGTCACAACCTTGAACCTTTCGTCATAGCTCGCTTTGCTTGAGTGAGTGGGTAGCTGGGCTGATAGGTGATAAGTGTGTTGTGGGAACGAACGTTCAAGTTACAGCTCAAGGAAAGCAAGTACGGTTCATAATTAACTTGGGCTAGCTGAGAGGGCACTCCCTCTCAAAATATCTCGCAAAATTATTGATGGGCGTGTTAAAATGAAATCATTTTTGACCTGACCGAATGATATTTGCCGGATTTATCTCTCGCTTTAACGAGACCTATTTATATACATACGAGAAGTCTTGAAGGATGAATGAAGCATTGAAACTGTTGGAACTCTAAAACATTCCGGACGTCTGTGCTCTCTATAGGTATCGCTTCCTAGTTACTTGCTGCATGAACTGTACGATATTGTCCTTACTGTACGAATTGGTGATTTGCTTACGGTGGATATCTGAAGTTCACCTTCGTACTTACTAATGCAGAGTAAATCGCAGTGTTTATTCGCCCATAGCTCAACTTCCTTGGGTCTTAGCATTCGTGATTTCAAAATGGCTGCTTAAATTTGTCGGTATATCACGCCAGCCAAAAGTTTACAATTATAACAGGAGCGCCATAATGATCGAAGTGAATCAGATCAGGCTTTCACATCAGTGAGTAGTGGCGCATATCGGACAATTGCTGTCACTCCTGAATGTTGTCGAACTCGATACCACTCCAAACTTCATTGTCCCGGTGCGTCGTATTTGTCGTCGCCGTGAGCTGTTTTCTGCCAAGCCTTTGGACATGCGGCTCTGTCAGTTGGCTGACGTTCCAAACGCGACAATCGGCTGCACGAAAAGGAAACTAGGACGCGGCCGTCAAACTTTAGCCGCAAATGATCGCGCTATCCACTGCCGCTGAGAGCTGTCAAACTTCTGTCATGATCCATTGTGTTTACAGCACTGGTGGACATTTGATCTACCTACCTGCTTCTACGGTTCAGTGTGATAGTGCTTTTTTGCGGGTCTAACTGCAGTTAAGCTGCAATACATGGGAACTTCTTTCAGGTGCTATTGAAGCGGGTAGGCATATCAGTCATAACTTTCATTGCAGAAATACACGCGTGTGTTATGGTTTGCATCATGAGCTAGCGTGTCACTCGGTGTAGTACAGTGCCAAAGATAAAACGTCCAATTGGGCGCTGGACCCTGGTTCTCTCGGTGTTTGAGCCGTCCGGTGCCCTGTCCTCTCCTCGACCCTCCGCTCTCGGCGGCCACGGGCCTCACTCGCGGCTGATCTGGTTTCCGAACACGGCCGGCCACTGGGCGATGGCCTCCTTGTCGGCGGCGCCGCTCGGCAGCGAGACCACCACGCGCACGGTGCGCCCGTACACGGCCGGCTCACAGGCCAGCGCCGTGTCCACCTGCGGCGGCGTGAAGCTCGTGATGGCCGCCCTGGCGCAGAGCGCGTAGTCGCCGGCGGGCGTCTTCACCCACACGGAAACGGGTACCGGCGCGTCGGGCTTGCTCAGCGCCGTGTAGCGCACCGTGCGGATCTGGTAGGTGGCCCCGAGGTCGACCGACAGTACCTGGTGGCTGTCTGTGACGGCCGCGTGCCAGACCCGGTCGCGGCTGATGTCCTGGCCGAGGTACTGACAGATGGCTCCCAGCAGAGACCGCTCGCTTGTCAGCTGAAAGTGGAGCTGCTGGCCGACCTTCACGAACGCGCGCCGGCCCAGCGGCAGCGCGGTGATGTCCCACTCGGCGCCATCGTACGCGAACGGCTCGTTCTGCGTGGTCAGGAAGTCGGTGTCGGATGTCGCCGACTTGATGATGCCGAGCAGGATGCCAGACCAGGTCTGGGTTACGACACCCTCACCGTGAGTCGGCAGCTCGGCGCGCGGCAGCTTGCTGTTCAGCACGTCCAGCTGCTGAAGCACGCCTTGCAGGTTGTCCAGGGAGCGCGGCGCGTACAGAACGGCGTCCAGCTGGCGGCAGCGCTCGTAGCTGGCGCTGCTGTTTCGGATGGCGTCGGAGAGGAGGGTGAGCCACGTACCCGGCGAGGTCTCCACCCACTGCTGATCGGACATCAGCTGCTGCGGGTCGCCGCTGGCGCGGTTGAACTGAAACACCTTCTGGGTGACGTTGGGCTCGGTGGACGTCGAGCTACTTGTCTGTTGGACGAAGATAAGTGACGATCCCTGGATAGCATCCGCCGCGTGCAGCGTGCACGTCTTGTTGACGAATCGGAAAGCGATGCAGTTGGGCGTCTGTGTTTGACAGGATGCAACACAATCGGCGTCAGAACCGGCGGAGGCGCTGGCGAGGGCGGGCTGGGCGCGCAGCGTCCCGCTGAACTTGTCGCTGAAGTGGCCGAGCTGGGGGTCCAGCAGACAGCCGGCCTGGCTGAGGACGAAGTCGTCCAGACACTGGCACTCGGAGAGGTGGCAGCGGGAGGGTCCGTGCAGCCACTGACAGTCGGCTGTAGTGAGACAGCTCGTGGTCTGCGCCGTGGTGGTTGTCACTGCTGGACGGGGACAGTGGGTGAAATTATCAGAGAGCAGGACACATGGTATTAATTGCCATAGTTATTGCTCGTAGTAAACAAAAAATTGAAATTGCATGGATACATAATACATATGCGTATTGCATAACCTGCGTGGAGAACAAGAAACAGCAAAATCCTCACGTCCTGTAAAACAAAGCAAGTGTAAGACTAATTCATAAAAATAAGTCGAATGGGCCAGGCTCAGCCGATAATTAACGGAACATTATATTTGATTGAGCAGGGGCCTGCGTTGCTACCCTCGCAATCACTCAGTCTCTGGCCCGCACTCTACCTGAGGTAGCGGTAAGCGGCGAGGCGCCCGGCTTGTGGCCCTCCGTCCAGGCCTGTGTGGTCGTCTCCGTGTTGTTGGGCATCATTCGGTGGTGTGAGAGCCGACACTCGCCCCGCTCGGCGCTGTAAGCAGCCGCCTGGCACGTGACACGCGCTAGACAGGCGTGACTGCAGACGCCTGCCGTGTCGACCGGTGGCCCCAGGTCAGTAGGATTACCCGACATTTTTTTTTTCAACGAAGATGTTTTCATAAACAAATTGTTAAATCGGTCACATGAAAGATTGAATCTGATCATGAGCCTCATTGAAATGTGTTAATACTACCAACTATCTAAACACGAATTTTACATTAGAAACCTCACGTTTGTGGGTGGCGCATCTACTCACATTCTGTGATGCCGGTCAGCACCAGTTGGCTGGCGTTCGTCTGAAACGTTACGTCACTGGGCAGGAAGGCAGACATTGTGGGAATGGTGACGGCACCACCCACCGTCGTTTTAGAAAACTCGTCCCACGCCGCTACTGAGAGTGAGAGGGAACCAAACAATAACAGGACTGCGCTCGAGAAGGTTGTTGATTTGGCCATGTTCAGATTTCGCGTGTTCACAAATCCACCACTCACAAACATAAAGGTTTGGGGTAGATGATGTGTTCTTTTTTCAAGACGACTTCCTTTCGGACTTGCGGTTCTATCGGTGGTGAGGTCTGTCCAGAGCTGCACCCGATGCGATGACGGTGAACGGTGCGCTGCGTTTTATATCTGCTCACTGCGGCAGGAGCCGTCTGTCGCTGCGATTAAAACTGTCGTCGGTGTATCAATGTGTCAGCAGCATACTAACTTGTTGATGTTAAGTGGCAAACTTTTTGGTGAGGTAGAGTGGTTTTAATGTGTTTTCTGTGCGAATGCGTATGCATGTTTGACGTGTGTGTAGGGACGGGGACAAGTCGTTATTATAAATTCAACGCCACCATAAAATACCTACCGCTGCCTGCCTGACCCCTTTTCTCAAAACCTTAGCAAACTAACTCCCGTCTCTCCCGGTCGTCAGGGCCTTGATGCCGCGCGGCACCACCGTGTCCATCACGCTGGTGGCGGGGGCTAACACACCCTCCCCGTCTCACCCTCGCGGCCAGGGTGTAGAGTGTAGGTAGACTGTAGCTCACACACTCTCCCCGTCTGTCCCTCGCAACCAGGGTCTGGACGGCGGCACCACCGTGCTGATCACGCTGGTGACGGTGGCTCACACCCTCCCCTTCACCCAGGGTCTGGACGGCGGCACCACCGTGTCTGGCACGCTGGTGGCGGCGGCGCGCGCCGGGATCTCCGTGTTTGTGACGGGCGGCGTGGGCGGCGTGCACCGTGGAGGCCACCGCACCATGGATGTGTCGGCCGACCTCATCGACCTGGGCCGAGCGCCCGTCTGCTGCGTCTGCGCCGGCGTCAAGAGCATTCTGGACGTGGGACGCACGCTCGAGGTGCTCGAGACGCAGGGTGGGTCGCAGGATGGGAGAGCGGGGAAAGCGTGGCCCAGAGCGCTCTGAAAGCTGGAATGTGTCGATGGCTTTTAGGGGGACTCTCCAGTCTCCAGAGCCCAGAGTGGTTAATGGTCGTGGCTGCCTGTTGATTGCCATGACGATGAAAGCCGTGTATTGCGTATTCAACTTTTACCAATATTTGTATAGCTGTCTGTGCACTTCAGCATGTAATGAAATATCTCATCCTTTTTGTTCAATATATTTTTCGGTATTCTGGTTCGCTTATTTCCCTCGACAACACCCCTGGCATACTGGCATTGCAACTTTTCTGACGTGCGTTCCCCTGTCTTCTTCCCAGGCGTGTGCGTGGTTACCCTGGGCGAGAGTGACCGTTTCCCGGCGTTTTTCACGTCCGACTCGGGCCACCGGTCGCCTCACCACGTGACCACGTGCTCGGAGGCGGCCGCCGTGGCGTACCAGCACTCAGAGCTGGGTCTGGAGAGCGGCCTGCTGCTGGCGGTACCCATACCGGACCAGTACCGCGCCGAGGGACGATCGTGAGTGGGCGCACAATGGGGAGGGGAGGAAGGGCGGTGGGAGGAATGTGTGGGAGCCGGGAGGGAGTAGTGAGAACAGGAAGTTGGAAGTGAGATTCCAGGAAGGAGTCACTGTAACGTTGGAATCTTTCGACAGCTTGGATAAAATAAACACTCATTATATTTTGGTCAGTAGTGGTCAGTGGTAACAGATACCGTGCCGAACATTGTCGCCCTCCGCCCCCGTTCTCCCGATGTAACACCGTCTGTGTTTTCTGCGTGTCGGCAGCATTCAGGCGGCTATAGAGCAGGCGGTGAGCGAGGCCGAACAGCAGGGCGTCTCGGGCCGGGATGTCACGCCCTTTATCCTGGCCCGGGTCAACGAGCTGACCGGGGGCGCCAGTCTGCAAGCCAGTATCCTTTGACGTGCGGCCAGCCTGCTGCCGGCTTCTCTAGCTGAGATTACTTTTGCTGTAGCTGCTGAGCAAGAATGTCAATGTGTCATGTGCAATGTGCATTCGGTTTATGAAGGGCCAAAAATCATTTCGAGATGGAGTTTCTGAAATTTATTTTTTAAGGTTACCTCGTTAATCAAAAACTGGGTTAGTGAATGGTGGCGTATCTTTTTTTAGAATCCAGTACCTTTGTGTGAGTTTTGGTTTTTAAGATTTTCCCCTGGTTTCCTCAATGCTGCATCAGACATACATTTGGTGGAAAACAACGCCCTGCACGGCGCCAAGGTAGCTGTTGAGCTGGCCGAGCTCAAGAGGAACAGGTAGGACACTGAAAATGTACCCATTTATCACCTTGAGCAATGACTCCTCTTCAGTGTTTTCCCGTAGAGGAGTGTGGAAGATTATTTGTTTCTTTCATTCATCTCGGTGCCGGTGTTGGCAATGTTTACCATGACTGACTGCGAGATGCCTGACATCTTAATCTGTGCGAGATATCGATGAAAATATGATCAGCTATGGCTTATGATAGTAGTCCTGTTTTGCTTTAGAGGCAAGCGGGGTCGATTAGAAGGTTCGGTAACCAGAGCGGCAGCGCAGTCAAGAGACAAGGTGCAGAAAGACGACCCTGCGCCAGACGCCAGCGGCGGTAGAGGCGTACCGGTGAGCTTGAATAAATCGCTATAATATCGCTATAAATCGCTTATAGTGCCGCCAGCGGAAGCTTTGCTTTGCGTCGTACTTTAATGTGACATGTTGATCCTTTTATATGTAACTAGCTGAACATGATTTTGGTTTTGTTTGCTTTTGCTTTTCGCACTGAAATTTTGCATTGCCAGCAGCTGTTTGCATAGTTTGTTTTTCTGTTGCATATTATTCCTAGTATTGTTCCTTTATTTCGTTTTGTATGCTTTTCTTTCAGACCGTAATTGGTGGCAGCATCGTAGACTTTGTCATCAAAACTACCGATAAACATCTACAGGTAAAACCGAGTTTCTTAAAACCTCTTGAAATCCTGGCATCTATCGGAGGAGCTCATCAAATTTGTAAATGATACCTTTAAAACCATTTAACTCCTCAAATGGAGGCCATATATCATGTTCTCAGAAACCTGGACCTCCACAGCGGAGGACGAGATTTGCTGGACGTGGCAGTGGCTGTCATGTTATGTTGGTTAGCGAGCAGGTCGCTCAGTTTTCTGTCTATCCCAGCCCCTCTGACTTCCCCTCCCCTCTTTCTCAGATGGACGGGTCCACGCACCGGGGCCACATAGCGCAGAGCTACGGCGGCGTGGGCCGTAACGTGGCCGACGCGCTCTCCCGGCTGGGTCACCGGCCGCACTTTGTATCGGCAGTGGGCAGGGACCAGCTGGGTCTCGCCGTCATCGCCAACAACCCGCACATGGTGAGGGGTGGGTGGGGGGGGGGAGGAGGAGGGCTGATCGGGAGGGGAAGACGTGAGATTGTTTGAACCGTGTAAGAAGCTTAGGAAGGATATGAATTTACCAGCATTCAAATATAACATGTTTTTACCAGAATACGATAGCATGGTTCAGAGACATTTTTCGATCACGTTGTTTGAGAACCGCTGGGAGTACTCTCAGATCATTGTTTCTAAACGACGATACTCGGATGATTTGCATGCCTAAAATCTTTGGAAAGCTGACTGTGTAACCTGTGCACCTCACTGAGAGGTACTGGTGTGGTAAACCCTCCGCTTCCCTACTTATTTCTGTAATTGCTACCGTGTCTGCGCCCTGACGTTCTGACGGTGCTCGGGGCTGACGTCTTTAGTTGCCTCCTGTCATCTTTAACGACCCTGTCCGTGCCCCGGGTGTTCGCTCAGGACTGGCGCTGCGTGGACCGTCGGGAGTCCCTCTGCACGGCCAGCTACGCTGTCCTTGTCGACAGCACTGGCTCGGTTCAGTTCGGCGTCGGCGACATGGACATCCACGAGGCCATCACGCCAGAGCTGGTGGGTAGAGCGTGGGGAGACAGAGAGAGAGAGGGAGGGGAAGTGATGGTGGGTAGAGCGGGAGAGCTGTGGAGTTTGGAGCCATGCGTGGCGTTGGCATGGAGTAGGTGGGGTCCACAGTCACACCCGCCTGCGGCGTGAGACCTACTTGAGACCTTTTCAGGGCAGACTTCTTCTTACTTGTGGCTTTGAGTGAAGCTTAATGAAAAGAGCCAGTTTGCTATCTTTATTCTATTATATTATTTATTATTTATTCTTTATTATATGTTATGACGTTTTTTCACTTCTGGTTTTAAGTCGTGTCATTGATACCCACTCTCACCCCAGCCCTCTGCTGACCTGCCGCCGTTCCGTCCCCCGTCTCAGGTTGAGCGGCACCGGGCGTCGCTCGTCTCCAGTCCTCTGGTGGTGACCGACGCCAACACCCCCTCTCCCAGTCTGTCAGCGGCCGCGCGCCTTTGCGCCGCCGCCGGCGTCCCGATCTGGTTCGAGCCGACCGACCTGCGCAAGGCAGTCAAGTCGGCGGCGCTGCTGACAGCGGGCCACCAGCCGCCGGTGCTGTACAGTTCCCCGAACGCTGCCGAGCTGCACACCATGCTCACGGCGCTGACGCCAGGTGCGGGAGGGGTAGGGGGCAGAGGTACTCACCATGCTGACTGCGCTGACGCCAGATACAGAAGACAGCCTATGGGCTTCGTTTGCGGGTGCTTATCAGTTGTAGTGCTGTTACTTAATTGTTCATAAAAATTGATTTAACACACTAGTTTTTTCATTCTGTGGCCATCTAAATCAGACTGTTGTCAAACTAAAGTTACTGCCCTTTCTTCTCAGATCGGCCCGGTGCGTTCCACCTGCTGAAGGGCGACCAGCTCCTGGATGCGTGCCGTGACGCTAGTCTGCGCCTGCTGGAGCACTTCCACTGCCTACTGGTCACCATGGGAACCAACGGCGTCATGGTGAGCGCGCGCGTGTTGTCATGGTAACCAGAAACGCGTGTAATACTAGCTAGTCTACGGCTTTAATCACTCAACCAGCCAATCAAATATGATCTACGTTAGATCCATAGGCCATGAATGGTGTCAGTCTTGCCTTGCAGGTGTATCGCTGCATTTCACAAACTTGCTATAAATAGCACGCGTCTCACGTTCCACAGATCAGCCGCCGCGGCGGCCGCTCGGAGCCGCTGCCTTTGGGACCGGGCGCGCGCGCTCTGCCAGCCGGCGGCCCGACCTCATGTGTCCACTATCCGGTCACGGCCGCCAGCAATGTGGTGAACGTCAGTGGCGCCGGCGACTGGTACGGAACGGGAGGAGAAGTGGGGTCTCGGTCCTTGGAATCGTGAATGGGAATGGGAAAGGGAGAGGATAACAGGACGGAACCCGAGATGCTGAGTGCTTTGAGACGATTTTCTTAAAGATACCATCATGACTTGAATTTGTTAGATGATGGTTTTCAAGTGCATTCTTTCTTGTTTTCTTTCAGTGCGTTTACCGTCGGTCCTCTGTGCTTTTTCGTCGCTGCCCTTGTCGCGTGAACTCTGTACCCTAACGTGAAGCCCCAAGCTCTGTAAGATTCACACACGCAATTCTTTCCCTCCTGACCGCCTCCTGTCTCTCTTGTTCCCTCAGTTTCAACGCCGGTTTCATCTCTGGCCTGCTGGCGGGCCTGGCGCAGGACCGGTGCGTACAGCGCGGCCAGCAGCTGGCGCTGCAGGCCGTGGCCTGTGCCGCCGCTGTGCCGGACACACTGCAGCTGAGCGACGCGCCAGAGCCGCACCAGGCCCCTGGCGTGAGCCGGCTGCCCTGAACGGAGGTAGCGCCGCGACAGAGGAACGCGTGGTCAGGTCAGCCGGGCAGCAGAGGGAGCTTGAGCCTTTCAGATCCGTGGTGGGTCCAAGGGTGGTATGATGTAGGCTGGTGGGTTATGCGAAGCCTTCAAACGGTCAGACTCTGACCAACAGCTATCTGAGATGGTGGATAGGTGACTCAGTGCATGCATGACAGGGTACGAGAGTACTGCCATCTTGGTACGCGGGCGGGTACATCGTGCTGTTAATTAGCCTTACGGAGGCCGGGTGCCAATGAGAGTCGTTGGCGGTGGCTGCGGGTAACAAGGGGTCCACCTCAGGGACATACCCTGTCTCGCTCACCAAGCCTTTCATTCTTCATGAACCAGTCACTGCCGGTGTATTTCATTTCATGCTCACGGGTATCTGGCGAGCGCATTTAGACGAACGGTAATGTTCCACATGTGATTGGGCCAGACTTTCGATGCAATTTTTAGCTGTGGACTGTGGTCGTCCGTGAAACATGGGACCTTTCAAGGCTGTGGAAAATTTATTTACATTGATGGTAACAGCTTCCCGTGCCATTTCAAACTCTATGCATAACTTGTCGGTGTGGTGTGATAAATAATGATTGTGGCAAAATTGCCATACACTGACTATCAACTTAATACTAGAGAGAAGATGCCCTGCTCTGGGCAAATTCTTTTGTATGTCAGCTACGGTGCGAGAATATATACATATATTTGACTGACAGGCTTCGCTTTCGCATAGCAGAGGTGTTGCTCTCGCTAGGCTACGAATACGGCGTGCTTAATTGCTCTCTCATCAGTGATAAACTGGAGCACGTGCCATATTGTGCTGGCATTAATTATGGGTGTTTATCCTGCCTTTCCTTCCTTGCTCGGTCTTGTCTGTAGGGTATAGATTTGCTAGTGGGAAAGATAAAAATGATTTGAGTGATTTCAGGGTTTTCAGTCTCGTACTCTGCTAACGAATTAGAGATAGTTGACAATTACTTTTTATAATGTTCAGTGTTTGTGAAAAACAGTGAATATTGGCTGGCAGATCGTGAAGTGATCTGCTAGTAATTAATTGATAAAGGGTGCATTAATTTTGTGTGTTCCCGAGCTGTAAGAATCGCAACGCTCATGATATTTCAGCTATTGACCTATAGCAGTAAAGGATATGTCAATGTTTTCAGTGTAATGTTACAGTTGCGACTATCTGAGCTAATGCTGTCTCAGGACAATATGTTTATGTTTCGGAGCATCATGTACTTTATGTTTTGTAAGTTTATGGAACATTTTTGAACGGCATTTGACCAAATGTTCATCAGCTTTCGACGTTTCATTTTAACTCTCTGAAATGAGCCTGCTTAAGTAATTGAAATGTCGAGCGGTGAGTGATTTTGTAAATCTGAGTTGGTAGGGTGATACTAGATGATGAAGAGCTCAAGGATATTTTAGTTAATTGCGGGGTCATTGCCGCATTAACTGTGAAACTAGCATTGTTTATACTCAGTCTGTTGAAGGGAGCCTGTGAATGAGAAGCAACATTCTGTTCACATCGTGTCATTGTTATTGTGGGTTTTTATGGTCGTGTTCCTTGTCGTGTGCCTTTGGCGAGTTGTCGCAGCTCGCCGCCCTCTTGCCTTGATCATGGAATACTCGTTGATGATTTAATCTATCGTGTTGATCACCTTAGCGCGATCCTGGATTACGGGTATATTCGTATACTTCCGTAGTTCCAGGATATTCCGCGATAATGCTGCCTACACTCGGACCATCCTTTTTTAAATGAGCAAGACTGGTGTCAATTGTGGAAATCGTTTTTTTGTGTTTCTATCATTAACAAATAAAAGAATGACAGTCGGTACTATTGTCTTTATCGGGACGTTTACAGAAATGAACTAATCGCCTCGCATTCCTCACACCCAACGTATACTACTCCAAAGAACGCGCACGTCAGATTGCTTTTCGCTCCCCAATAGAATTCAGGACTCGATTGTAAGCGCCGACACACTGCGCCGACACCCAGTGTGTCGTGGTCTTTTTAAGGTTTAGCGCCGCCGGGGCAGGACGTTTCTCCAGGCTTCCATGGTGAACGTCCGTCGGCATCGGCGACCGCGGCGTCTGTGGCATTACAGAACGTTGTCAGAGAAGACAGGGCACAGCTTGAGAGTGGGACATGGAGTCTAGAGCTGGATAGAAAAGTTGTAAGTTAAAGGAGTGATACAGACTGAGCTCCAGACACTGGATGACGCAGACAGACCTTGGCATGCTTTCATCACGACGTAAACTCCATTGGCAGTGTCTTATCGCTAACTCGACCGACTTGACACCTGAAGAGTTCTCCGGCGTCCTGCCCACGTCCTAGCAATGGTCATGTATGTACCGACACTGACCTGCTGATGAAGAAGGCGTTCTCTTGTATCCTGCCGAGCTGCGGGAACGCCTCACACAGTACGGCCGACCAGGACATGGAGTCGATGGCGTCCAGTTGGGCTGCAACACGGGGCAAGTCACGATTATCGTCCGATGGCGGAGCAACCGAGACTGTGCTCTTGCTGGGGTGTCGGGTCATACAAGCATGCTATTTGAGACCAGGCGCGTAACCACCACTGGGGACACTGGGGACCGGTCCCCAGTAACTTTTGGGTTACCGGGGACCGTCCCCAGTAAAACTGACGACCTCAATTTGCATAGCGAAATATTGTCTCTAAATCGACGTGAAGAGTAATATGTAGTCAACGTAAGACAACACTATGGATGTTTTGTTTAACCCTCGCCGGCCGAGGGGGGGGGGGGGCGGGTGCCGCCCCCCCCCATAGGGTTTTTTTTCGCGATAGCTCCGAACACGCTGGCGATAGAGAGCTGAAACTTGGCATACCTGACCTTTGATCCAAGCCGGATCTTTTGACACCAACCGCATTTTTGGGTCAGGTCAGGTCACTGACCTATGACGTCATAAGTGAACCTCTGCACGGTCTTCAGATGTCGCAACTTCGCAACGCCCTCACTGCCAGAGGAGATGTCACAGGGAAATGAAACTTGCAGGTTCTAGTATCCATTATGAGTCCCACAACTTGTATCTCTCGGATTTTTCCTAAAGGTCATATGAGGTCAGGTCATTTTCGTGACCTCACCATTATAAGTCAATGGGGAAAAATTCAAACTGCTATTCTGGCGCCGGGAACGATCTCCAACTATCTCAAGCACACAGAATCGTGATTTGATGGACTCCTTGCAAGGTTAGATGCGTCACTTTTGCAATGTTGACCTTGCGTGACGTCATTTATGACGTCATCAAGGTCATATTAGTTTTTTGTCAATAACTCTTGATCAAATTGAGCTAGCGAGTCGGGAAAGCCACCAATGGACTCAGGAAGACCTGCCGAATCGAATGATATGCGACATGACCTCTTTCGACCAACTTCGTGACCTGGGGGTGCTGACCTGACCTTGACCTGAGGTCAACACCCGAAGTTGACCTGACCCGGACAAAAACTATATCATTCGACGCGCCTGAGCGAGACGAACACGATGCTGCCAAAATCGGCGCTCTGCGGCCGTTTTTTGCGAAGTTATTCACCAAAAACTGAACCATACCTTGGGGCACTTGACCTGACCTCAGAGGTCACCGGTTGACCTAGGACCTTAAAATCGGGTACCAATCTCTGCGTCTCGTAACGGCGCACACGCTCGTTTTTTTCCGCGACGCGCTAGCTCCACCAGGGGCGAAACGGCGAGGGGAGGGTCGTACCCGCCCCCCCCCCCCCCCTCGGCCGGCGCGTATGTAGAAAACCAATAGGTCCGGCGAGGGTTAACCAGCGCCCGGGTGGGCCTCTCAGCAAACTTCGCCAACAATACCAATCAAATGACATGCAACATGACCTTTTCCGTGACCTGGACCAGGGGTCAAATTTTTAAAGTTGACCTTCTCAGGTCAACTTATAGTTTATTCGACGCGTCTCGATGAGACAAACGCGATGCCGGTAAAATCAGCAAAGCTATGATGCAAAAACCTTTTCCGCAAAGAAAAACGCCAGCCTGGAAGCTAAAGCATTGACCTTAGGTCAAATCTGAGACTTGAGAGCATTACTCAGAATATATACTACTGAACGGCTCTGGGAAAGAAAAATGGAAACCGAGGTCTTTAACCGAGATTTCCATTTTTCTTTCCAGAGCAAGTTCAGTAAGATATTTACACGTCAGAAACTCACAATTTAATTATTGAAATCACCTTTTTTAAGATTTTTATAAAAAAAAATCACCAGAACTGTAGGTCATCAACCCGTGCCGGAAAACAGTGCAGGAAAGATGGATACCTAACGCTAAAGGGATATCTCGGCGTATGGGAAAGGCCTTTGCAAGCGCTATCGAATGCGCTTTCCCGCAACATTGCAGCTCTATTGGTTCCTGACTTATGCGCCGATTTGTGAAAAGTTGTCAAAATTGGGAACAAAATTTCGTGAAAATTTTACATTTGGTGACCTGCAGTGACCTCAGCGATGACCTGATCAAAAAATTGATGAAGTTAATTCTGAAAGATACTGTAGCGAGCTATCTGTTGCTTTTTACCTCGTCTTTCTAGCTTGGTTACTTTCCGAGATAACCTGGTGTGGCCAAAAAGCCCCCCCCCCCCCGGTATTGTTGAGCTGAACACATTCATGATGTTTTCAGCGCTCTAGCATGTTTCTACCTACTATGGACGTCAAACCCCTTGAGACCCCACTTTTTTGCGATAATTTTTTAATGCGTCAACTCTCGTTGACAATATTCTGGCAATGTGTGTTTCAGAACCTGCCGAAACTTTTATTACTAAGGTATTTTGACGCCAAACGATTATGAAAGGTACTTCTCATTCACTCGTAATGTTAAATTTCACGGAACAAATCTGCTGTTTGGGTAGAGGCTACGCGCTCATGGGGCGGAGCCACGTAATGACGTCAGCGCTAAGCTCCGCCCTACCCCTCCGGCGCTCCTTGCCCGGCGACCGGTCACTCGCGTCTCTCGCTCCATGCAGGCTTGATGGTGGGCGGTAGCTGGTAGCGGTAGCGGGCGCTGGTAGATGGCATTTAGAGCAGATGGCGCTGGTGGCGGGGCTCGAGTGTGGCCGAGCGCAAGCCTCTGCCCGGGCCTGAATTGACCTTAGCATTACGAGTGAATGAGAAGTACCTTCCATAATCGTTTGGCGTCAAAATACCTTAGTAATAAAAGTTTCGGCAGGTTCTGAAACATACATTGCCAGAATATTGTCAGCGAAAGTTGACGCATTTAAAAATTATCGCAAAAAAGTGGGGCCTCAAGGGGTTTGACGTTCATAGTAAAGTTGTGGTAAAAAACTGTTGGGGATGTTTCATGACCTGAGATGAGCTGAGGGGCATAGAGGGGGTCACAGGTGCAATTTTCCGGTTCAATGTGCCATGTTTACCTGTGTCACGGTGTTTGAATGTGTTTTCGGCCAAAAGAAGAGCATTTCAATTTTCTCCCAATGACCTTTAATGGAGAGGTCGTAAAATTTTAATTGACCTGACATTAGGTCACCGATGTGAAAACTTTGAGATAGGTAGGTATACGAATTTCTCATACTGATTTCCTCAAGTAAAAGCTCGAGTTTCAAACTTCTGGGATGTAAACTATGGAATGAATTTCACACACGATGCGAAATTGAGGTATCATAAGCTATACCAAGTTTCACGGCGGTGCGCGCCGAGCCGAGGTTTACCTTACACGCGCAAAAAAAGCTGGCAGGTGTGGCCAAAAACGCCTCCACCCTCTCCCCCCCCCCCTCACACACACACACACTCCGGCGAAGGCTGATCCTGAAATATCATATTTGGTTTTCGCGGCCCTCCATGTGGTCCCCAGTAACTTCAGACTCGTGGTTACGCACCTGTTTGAGACGATTCACGTAGAAGTTTGCGTCTTGAATGAATGGCTGGGGAGAAAGGCACATCGCGATGTAGCGGGGCGCCCGTCCTGTCACTGACCCATTACAGCATCTCGAATGGTTGTTGATGGTAGTTGCCATTCTCTTTGCTCGTCACTCATTCTCTCAGTCGTTATCCTCCCAGTAATTTTCTGAGGCTGTCAAGTACCGTACTGAGGCTGTCAAGTACTGTACTTGTGTCCTACAAGTACCGTAAAACGGGGTGAAGTGAGACAGTGAGGTGAAGTGAGACACAAGATACACTTCTTCCTCTAATGAACGCTGTTTACGAACTGAGCAAAACGTTGCAAACTTCCATGAAGTTTGCACCGGAAGTTTGCACCGTATTGGTCAGTTCATAAGCAAGCTGTGTTAATTAGAGGAAGAAGTGTATCTTGTGTCTCACTTCACTCCACTGTCTCACTTCACCCCGTTTTACGGTACCCTTGTGGCTCCACTTCCCAGCGCGATATCGGCGCGCAGCTCACCGTCGCTGAACATGGAACTCTCGTGATTGTAGAAGTGTCTGTCGGCGTACTTGAGCCGTGTGAACTGCTCGGCCAGCAGACACTGGAAGGTGGGGCCGACCAGAGCCCCGCCGGCGGGCTCCTCGGCCACTCCGCCCACAAACAGATCCACGTCCTCCACGGAGCGGTATACGGAACGGAGCTGGGCCACCTGACGGTATACAAACAGAACAACTAACAGGTGCACAAACAGGTACACAAACAGGTACACAAATAGATCCACGTCCTCCACGGAGCGGTACACGGCGCGGAGCTGCGCCACCTGACGGCGCAGGAACAACAAACAGGTGCACATACAGGTTCACGTCCTCCACGGGGAGCGGTACATACACGGCGCGCAACTGCGCCACCTGACTGCACAAACCGACCCACAAACAGGTACACAAACATATACAAACAGGTCCTCAAACAGGTCCACGTCTTCCATCATGTAGGGAACTGTTTAATGCCAAGATTTACTGATCAGACAGATCAGGGATAGTAGTCTGGCGTTGCGATATATGTCGAGCCATCTTTGGGTCAGCTCACCCAGGTCAGCTCAGCTCACCCTGCCTGGTGTCATGGCGTCGTTGAGGTGCTCCCAGCGGGTGGGCGGGTCGCCCAGCTGCGGACAGGCGGTCTGCAGAGCCGCCCACGTCTGGCTGTATGTGCCGATCCCGTGGTCTCTCCCCCGCTGGATGTTGAGAGCCACCAAATCCAGACCGTGCTGCAAACCAGTGGAAAATGTTTGAGGTGAAAATAGGTAAAGGTGACTCAAGATACTTGACCTCTAGTCTTCTTAAATCGCTAAGGTGTTTCCACTTTCCATTACGGCAATCCCTAGTGGAACGTGACTATAGTTATCCCATCGCTGCCTCAGCATCGTGGTGGTTATACTGTCCCGGCAGGCATTCGTGTTGTGCGGGTCAGTCTACCTCCTCCACGCCTCGACCAACGCGCAACGCAAGTCGACTTATGCTGAGATTGGACATCTCTGCGTTGTTTTTAGAATGAAAGCTGCTGAATTCAATGTTGAATATTTTTCATAGAATATTTAACTGGACATTGCGTTTTTTCTTCTTTGAAGAATCAAAGTTCATTAATTCAATGCTGTCTTTTTTCACATGCCTAGATATTCGACCGTCTCCCACTCCCTGCCTTTGAACTCGCGCTCAAACTCAATATTTGCACCATCCGGCGCTGCTCTCAGTCTGCTGACCTGTCGCTCGCCCCTGAACAGAAGGCCGACGATCTCTCTGGAGAAGGTGCTGTCCATCCGCTGCGCTGGCTGGCTGATCAGGCCCCGTATCAGCGACAGCAGCATGCCCCTCTGCTGCATTTGGCCGCCCGGGTTGAAGAAGACGTCACTGAGCCGCAGCGCTCGGCCCCTACCCGGGACGCTGCCGGGCACGGGGTGGGTCATAACATGGGTGGGAATGCCGGTTCGAGATGGGAGATGCAAGACACGGTGTGAGCTAATCAAAGGGAAATTTATAGTCACAGACCTGTGACTTGTTCATCAAATGTGCATCTTGTTATCGAATCAAATCCTTGGGAACAGGTTTGTCCGGGAATTTCTCGTTCAATCAGTTTTCGTCCCGCATCGGGTGAGAAGAAAGAACAGGTTTTCTGGAATTCAGTTATATGCTAGTTTTTTTTTAATCCTTTCGATTTCATAACATACAAACAATCTAGTTATAAATAAACATTTGCATAGATTTGAAGTGAAAGTAAAGAGATTTCTTTAAGGCATATTTTAACATTGCCCTGCCTTACCTGATCCTCCCGGCCACCAGCGAGTGTCCGAAGCGGAAGGCGGCGGCAGCAAACTCGTTGACGATGCCCGGGTGCAGGTCGGCCCGATAGCGGCCGGGCCGGTCCAGACCCAGGCGACGCACCATGTCCGCTCCGAGCACGATCGGCAGCCACTCGGAGTAGATGACCCGCTGCATCAGAGCCACGTTCACCGCCCGGCTCTCCTGCGGGCGCACGTGGCGATGGGTGATATTATTGTCGTACCACCTCTAGACAGCGTTGGGTGACGCGCTGGGAATGGGAGGGCGGGCTTCATACGAGAGGTCGGTAATCTTACATGCAATCTTCGAGTGATTGTTGCCGATTACAACTGAAGAAGAGGATCATGAAGTTAAGTAACAACATGGTGTCGTCTGTGGTGTAAAAACCGTAACGATAACCAAGTCGTGAATAGGCCGTCGAGTCCACAGGTGGCTGGGGAAAATCGATTGTAAGTGAAACGTGTAAATGTCAAATACCCTTCACTCGCCGCGAGTGACACTAAGATTGGGTGCCGTCAGTCACACGCGAAATGCGAAGGACGGCTGGTGAAACTGACCTTTGGTTGTGAGTTACACCTACCTGAAATATGTCCTCGGCGGAGGCTCGCGGGTTGATCCGTCTGAGGGTGTCGGCGATTCTGTTGTGCATCGTCACCCAGATATTGTGGATAGCAGTCAGCGAGATTTGCTCGTTGACACGAGTGTCCCCTGGGGACGGAGGTGCACCGTACAATAAGCGTTTGTAGGGGAGTAAACGATGTAACAACAACCGTGCGGCTTGCCATAGCCGTTGGCTGTAGACAGATAGGGAAATCAAAATATGGTACGTCAATGCATGCCAGAAAACAAGTTGATTTGCTGTTTGAGAAATTATAGCTAAATAAGAAAAATATCAACCACACGCATTCCTTTATTTATACGGGTGACGAGACGGTAAAAAGTCCTTGTTCTGTCGAATTCCGAACTAAGCTCCCCGTCTCTCCCTGTGAACACCCCCCCCCCCCCCCCCATACGGTCCCGTCTCTCCGTCCCCGCTCACCAGCCCGGAAACAGACGCCGTTGTTCTCCGCGCAGCCCTCTCCGGCGCCGTGCGGCATCCTGGGCAGCCGGCCGTGGGCCGAGGTTCTCATCAGGTGGGACCCGGCGCGTCGCAGGTGCGCCAGCTCGGCCGCGCTGCTGCCGTACACGTTACTACCGTCCAGCCAATGGGTGATCTGGTTCACCTGTGTGTAATCGATCGGTGACGAGGCAGAAACGGTCAGTGAACGCGGTCAGATGGCCATTCAGCTGTTATTGTATCGACATCATGTGATCTGGGCTTTGGTGGTGTGACACAGCTGGAAAATTGATTTGTATGTGCTTATCTGATATCAGATCCCTGATCACTTATTCGAAATACATGATTCAACTAACTTGGTAATAAATGTTTTACCCCATTGCGCCAGTGTTTTATCAATGATCTACAGTTTGACAATGAAGTATCGCCAGAAACTACGTCTGAATACGCCAGAATACGTCTGGTCCTGCCGGACCGACCTGCTGTGCGGGCTGCTCCCCACATCCATCTCTTAGCGCCGGGATGCTCCGCAGAAAGTTCAGACATCGCACACGGAACCGCGAGTAGAAGGGGTCGTTGGCGGGCACGTCGATCGGAAAACACTCTGGTAGCTGGCGGACGCGGTCGCGCGATATGCCCTCGCTGCAGCAGTTCACGCCGGAGGTCACGTCTGGAAACGACACAGTATGGGGTTGTTACGACTGAGATCATTACATGGATCTCATCTGAGATCATTACGGATAACAATATGGTGCGACTTGCGGACGTGGGAAGAATCGATGTGTTACGGCTATGGAGCACCTATGCAGAAATTAGGAAAAAGCATATCATAATTGTCTCGTGGCTTGCATCGGCACAACACTACTGCCGCCACTCCTGAACTGTGCACAACACCGACCCGATTGCCGGGTGCGACATAAAAAGCACCTTATTCACATTACTGAATCAGTATCCTTTAGGTATGTACAACATGCATGCCCGCAAGCTTGCAACATCTAGAGCTGGATAGGTGGGCATTGATTGGCAGAGGCTTTGCTCTACAGTGTACGTATACGTACTGAGCCTCTGGACAGGCACGTGGGTGATGTCGTGGTCGATGAACTGTCCCCACTGCATCACGGACAGTGTGAACCGGCCCGAGGCGGAGTTCTCGCCGACCGAGGCGCACCGCGAGCTGACCAGACGGGCCGAGGGCAGCGGACTGCCGTCCCTCCCTCTGGTCCGCGGCTGCAGAATTCCTGCACACAGGAAAAGGTCCGTTTGAAGATCTCAGCAAATGGAAAACGACATCAGTCAAACAATTTTATAAACAAATACATGGACGTCTTTTCTCATGCTGGATCTGCTGCAGTGACCTGAAATATCGTGGCTCTTTCTGACGATTGAAATGCTAAAGATGCAAACATGAGGTATGAAGTGCGAACTATACGATCAAATAATAACTCGGACGTTCAGAAAGCGGTAACGCAGGTGACAAATTATACATATGCGCACCGCACGGATGCGGTTTGTTTCTGCGTGATGTCGGTGATTGGATTATAAAATTCATTCCAGAGAACAGTTCCCACCGTCGTCGTAGTTGCTGGGCATGATACGAATGAGCGGCGCGTTGGCGCCGCCCCAGTGGCTCTGCTGCAGGTTGTTGCACGTGCCGTCAATGGAGCGGACGTGTCGCGGGAGACGGCAGACCGGCCGCTGGCCGCCGCACGGCTGCGGCTGGCCACCCTCTGAAATAATGGCTCACTTTATGTCAAGAAACGGGGAGAAAACGTTTCAGGGAGAAGCTATTGTTATGTGCTTGTAACGTTATGGGTCACTACACAGGTCTTCAGTCCTACTCAACTCATAATGTTGGTGTATTTCTAATGCGTTTTGATATGTAGATGGTAGCAACTCAATATGTTTTCCTAAAGATTCAGACAGTGTGATTGGGATGGCTAAAGGATATCTGGAAAGTTTGACTTGCCCGTTTATACGAACGACGCAGAGCTTCACATTCACATATAGGTACTTACCGCTGGTCCTGGGCTGGGCGCTAGCCCCTTGTAGAATTGTCAGAATAGCTGGAGGGTAGATGACGTCAGACACTGGCAACCCTTGGCCTCGCCCAACCCTGTGAAAAAAATGACAATCATTTGAACATTGTGAGCTTCGTCCATGTTACGACCGTGGACGGTGGAGTGCACGTATGAAGAAGGTGTGTTGTTTGCAGCCAGGCAGCTCACTGGGTTATGGCACCTTGCTGAGTGTTTCAAATAGTTATGCAATCTTTTCTCTGTTTTTTTTTTCTAATCAGATCAAAGATCGCCGCTGGGCGAGCGTCGTGCGTAGCGCGGCTGAGCAGGGTATACGAGCCCGCAATACTCGGTGGTAGTGCGGCACAGCCTACCTTCCAGAGTGAACGCCGCGCTCGCGTGATGAGCTTCATCCCTCAACACACGTGTACAAATTGTGACATTTCCAAAGAAGTTTCCGCTAGCTAGCGCAATGATCTGACACTAGTGACTGTGGGTGTGTGCATGCTTATTTACTTATCTTATGAATATGTGTTTGATATATTTTTATTGGGCATTATTGTAGGCTAAAAATCATGATTATGCTCGTCCTTCTGAATTCCTATGTCCGGGGGCTAGGTTTACAAATTAATGGAGCTGCATCAATGCTTTCTCCTTGCTGAAGTTTTCTACCTCGCGTATTTGACTGGCCATTGCCACCCAAACATTGGCCGGGCGGTTTGCTAGTCACTCATTTCTCGGCGGTGCGCTGACCCTTCGCCCCTCATACTACCGAGCAGTAGATAGTCTAGATACTCATCTCCCTCGCCGGTCCGCCATCCAGTATTTACCCACCTCTCCGCGGTGCGCAGCAGCGCCTGGACGGCCGTGTTTCCCGCTCTCAGGATGGCCGGCGTCGTCTGCGACTGGAGCAGGCTCAGTCCGGCAGACGATCGACCATCAACCGTCGCCAGCTGCGGAGTGCAGCCGACGTTACCGTGACTTCATAACAAATGTATGATTAAAAACACACATAAATCATGTGACCTGAAGCATATCTAAAAGGCAAAAACAAACTTCCTTACAAACTACTAAAAAATCATTCGTTAGCTTTAAACAACTATCGACAAAAAGTTACGAGTGACGGCTGCAATTTATGGATATGGTCATAATTAAATATATAAAATGAGAGCTCATTAGTTGAATGAATGCCCGAGACAAATTGTGACTTAGAACTCACCTGACTTCGAATATCTGCTATTTGTTGGCTGATTTGACCGAGGGTATTAGTACTGACAGCGTTATTTATCTGCAAATTGCAGAAGGTTATAATTGCCTTAGTGCATGACTGTTGTGACACACACACCCGAAGATTAACACTTTGTTATGAGGAGGGTGTCCATTTTGTTTTTAAATGAGCCAAAGGATATCAGTTGATTGAGTGAATTCGTTGGAAAGTGGAAATTAAAGTAATGCTGTCTCTAACTCTCTAGTATTATTACTGGGCATAAGATATTCTGTTAGATTATCTGCATAACGACTGAAAGTATTATTGTACCTATTTCTCTGTCAAAAAACATGTTCCACAACTATAGGCTTAAAAATCGTCCCGTTCCAACAAATCTTCTTGGCTTCTCCGTCCGGCCCTGACCTGACCTGCTGAATTCGGGGCACGGCGAATCCCAGTCGGCCCGGGGAGAGCACGTCCTGCAGCGGCGGCGATGTCGTCGGCCGCGGCGCGGGCCGCGCGGGGCGCCGCCGCCGGGCCCTGGGCCGGGTCGGCGCGGGCCTGGCTGTCGCGGGGCGCCGCCGGGCCCTTCGCCTGGTCGGCGGGGGCCGCGGCACCCGCGGTGTCACCAGCCCCGGGAGGCCGGGGAAAGTCGGCTGTGTGGTCACCGGCAGCTGGGGTGGTCTGCTGACTTGTGGCGCCGCCGACAGGACACCACTAGCTGTGTGTGAGGGACACAAACAGAATGATAGAGAGAAGAGGAGATAGAAAATTTATATCTCCTCTTCTCTCTATCATTCTGTTGACCTCTATCATTCTGATTTCTATTAGAAATCAGATAAAGAAAAAGACTGGAGCTCGTGGTCCCAGCTAGGGTTTAGGGGGCGGAGGAGAATGAGCGCTAAAGGCAGACATCTGTCAAAGTCGGGTGTTCCCATGTGCTGGCTTTGATGTAGGTATGTATTGATGAAAGTCAAGGGTCATGATCGTTGGGACTTATGAGAAGTTAACTCAAAACCTGAAACTGATGCAATTATTTATTCGGAAAGTTTACTTATTTACCTACTCCATGTAATCATCCAATAAGCGGAAAAAGAGACGTTCTGCACACGGATCTGGTGGCTAATAAGGGAACGGAACACCTCACCTGTGCCGAGCAGCCTTGCCGGTGTCTGTTGGATGGCGTTGAGTGCACCGAAGCCGTTCTGCAATGATGAGCAATGTCACGTAATAGCGCAATAGTGGTTCATAGGCGCTACTATCCTGACAGACTGGTGTGTAGGTAAGATGCAATCTATGCGATGCGACGCAAATGTTGGTATTCAGACAAACATGCTACCTAGATCGCAAAGGTGAAGGTTCTACTTAGGACCTAATCTGTACATGCACTGTTGCAAAACAGGTACCTATAATGGAGTCGGATAATGATCACCGATGTAAGAAGCACTGTAAGTACTTCTCAGTCCTAATTACGTTTCGATAAGCGCTCTATTGAAGGAAAGCTGAATGACTGTATTACACTAGGACCAGCAATGGAAGAAAATTATCGCGCCTTGATTGTCGACCCATTAGGTAAGCGTAAATATTAGCTTTTCCCGTCTAAATATGTCTTCCCGTCTTATAAGGTAGTTGAAGTTTTAGAATCGCGACTGATATATTCATTGTTTCGATAAGACTGCGTAGAGATTGGCATGGCGTTCTTTTCTTTTGCATTTGAACACGCATCATACCTAAATGTGCGTTAGCGCTCACCTGGGTCGCAAATGGAGGGAAATTGACGAGCTGTCCTCTGCATTTCCCGACCAAGAAAACTGCTGTCACAAAGCCAGAGACGAGCAACTAGAATACCAAGTTACGGAAACTGTGGTAAACATCACACCGCCGCTTCCACACAACTTGATTGTCAGTGCTTTACGCGTAACTATATTTTCGGACCTGCGATAACGATAAACCGATAAGAAAGGTTTGCGATAACGATAAACGATATAAATATTGAAAAATTTAGCAGCGATAGCGATAAAACGATAAAACGACAACGATAATTGTTTTTAACCCTCGCCCGCACATGCCATTTTCCCATCCTAGAACGCACATGGGGGGGTGGTTGCCACCCCCCCCGCGCCATTTCGTTCCTGTTGGAGATAGAGCTTAGCGGTAAAGACCAAAAAGATTCTTTGGGAAGAGACGAATCCAATGATACCCAGTTTTACCTTCTCAGGTCAGTCATTGACCTTCCAGGTCAGGTCAAACTAAAAAATGTTGCTATTTTGGGTCACCGTTGGATATCAAGTGCGCTGCTTACCATATACCGATGACGATGCTGTTTTCTGGTGCCAAGCCAGCTAGAACCTCTTTGTCACACTACCCGACCAGATTTTTGCGGCTGAGGTCATGTCAGGTCAAGTTAGGTCAAGGTCAATTATATGTGTTTGTATGTCTGTGTGTGTCTGTGTGTATACTGATGTGTGCACCGATTGTTTTTGTGTCCATATTACATGAAATCATGATCTGAGAAGCTTTTACCAAAAATGCAGTCAAAAAACTTCACAAAAAGTAATTTCCGTTTACCTAAAACGCAATTATCTTAGATGACCTAGGTTGACCTTGACCTTGACCTTGACATCTGTACATCGTCGAACAACATGTTCCATGATAGTTGGGAGGTAAGACTGGCAAAAAAAGCCGAAATCAAGGTGTCAAAAGCTCACAAGGCCCATAGCCAGCGCAGGATGTTGAGAATTGGCCATTTGGGTCATGACATGACCTGAAAAACAAGGTCATATCTCCGAAACCAAAAATCACAGAAACTTGAAATTTTCAGTGGACATCAAGAAAGGATAGAGGAGCAGCTATACGAAAAATCAGCCTTCTAGCTCTAAAAATGTTGAGTGCAGAGCAGAAAGACTACCTGGGGGGGGGGGGGGTGGCAACCACCCCCCCCCCCCCATGTGCGGGCGAGGGTTAACAGCGATAACAAAAGCAATAAAAATACAGCTTAATAAGTGTACTTAAAGTGTACAAAGACGGAAACCTAAGCCAAGTTGGCGTAGTTTTTTTTATGCTGAGTTTGACTTTCTGGAGCCAGTTCATTTATATACTTGTTCACTCCCCCAGATATGCGGGAATGCTCCCCCCCCCCCGTGACTGACCTCTGCCCAGTCCGCCGCGCAAATTTATACCACCCGTCGGCCGTCTGACAGATCTGTACTCTTAGCAGATGGTACCTAACAGGTTGCGCACACATACTGTCGCGCGGCATACACTGTCGATCGTCTTGCTTCCATTTTCCCATCATCCCGTTTTACATTTTATCGTTTATCGCTCATAATTTTTGTAACTTGCGATAAGTGGATGAGCGATAATTTTGAAAATTTAGCGATAAACGATAACGATAACGATAACCGATTTACTTAACAGCGATAATTATCGTTTATCGTTTATCGCTCATCCTATCGCATGCGGAAATCACTGTTGATTGTTGTAAATAGGTACAGTTTGCATATAATAATTCATAGCCTCTACACCCCCACTCAAGGGGAATAAAGTTACCGTTTGCTTAAAGGGACACTCCCACCTTCAAAAAAGTTTACGGGCGGGCGATGCGGGCGGTTTTCTTTTTTTTGCGTCGTTTGCGGTGTTAAATTTGTTTGCGGTTGGCGGCCGCTTTTTCGTTTTTTTTGCGGTGTTTTTTTGCGGCGGGCGGGCGATTTTTAGGCGTTTTCGGTTGGCGGTTAGCGGGCGTGCGATGCGGGCGGTTTTATTGTTTTGCGGCGTTTTTGCGTTTTTTTATTTGCGGTTTGCGGTGGGCGGGTGTTTATTTTTTGCGACGTTTGCGTTGTCGTTTCGGGCGTGCGTTTTGCGCGTTTTGCGGTGTTTGCGTTTTGCGGCGGGCGGGCGTTTTTCACAATTCAAAGTTCAAACCTTCGGGCCACAGCGCTCCTCGAAAAGCGCTGCCCTCGAGTAGCCTCTACACCCCCACTCAAGGGGAATAAAGTCACCGTTTGCTTAAAGGGACACTCCCACCTTCAAAAAAGTTTATGAATTGGCATGAAAGTGATGTCGCTCGGTTCAGAAAGAGCGAAAACGAATATCTACCAAATTTCACCGAAAAATATTCACCGGTTTTCAAGATATTAGACTTTTACTTTTTTTACTTTTTTGGGATCTCCGCTGTTTCTAGCGACTTTATTTTAGAAGTGCGGCGTTTGCGGCAGATGTTGCGCGCAAATATCATATACCACCGCGTGCTACAAAACGTTTTAGTCAAACATTTAAAAATCGTTAGATATTTGCGCTGACGTCACACATTCAGGGGGGTATTCCTAAGCATTAGCCCCTCTGAATCAAAATGCTGCAATTTTGAAATTCAATAGGTATTTCCGATTTAAGGCACTGCTCGATGTTGTGAGTGCCGAAACCGGTAATTGTGAGCCAGGGACCCCATTTTGGCTATCTCAACTCAAATCTAATGCTAAGGTGGGAGGGTCCCTTTAACGTATTCTGAACATGTATACACACGAGCTGAACGAATGTTGCGGATAGCTCATCTCATGTGGCGTTAGGATCGTCAAGACACTGAGATGCATATTAATATGCATTTCAGTGGCCTGTGGCACCTGGCCTGCGTGGCGGCAGGCGACCATCAGGGGAAAACTTCGATTGTGAATACGGCCACAAAAATAACCGGTTACCCGTTACTCCTACCCCATACCCTAAACCCGTGATTGGGAATACGGCCACTTCGCCACTGAGCTGTGCAAATTTGGTGGTAGTAACATTTGTTGACTTTTATGGGTCAAATTGCTGGGAGTGACGCCGAATATTGTGGCCCACGTTTTGCCTACACCAAGGGCTCAGTGGTGGGCGAATTTCAAGCGGATTCGTGGTGTGCCGAAACTGGCCTGAATCCACACTGATGTTTGAAGCCGTGGTTCACACTTTACAGCTCATGTAAGACCACAACTACCAGAATAAGAATAATACCCGATGGTTAAAAAATTGAAATATTATGCAGCATTTAAGCACCCTCGGTTCAAGCCACAAGTTATCACCACCCACCGCTCCCCATGGACCGTGGTGCACCAACTCACCGATAAACGCCTTCTATAGGTCATGTTTTCACGCATGCTCCAGTGTTTATGAGTTCTTGAGCATATACAGGAAGTAGGGTATTCGATCACCTTCAGGTTCTTCCAAACTAGAAGACTTCGCTTTTTAGACAGGCCTCAACGTTAGTCACAAATCACAGCTACCTACAGGCCATGACACAGTTTCTACGGAGACGTCTCGGTAAAACGCACGCTCCCTCTGAGTTGAATGCAGAACTGAGCCGCCCACTGTGGTTTGACAGGCCGTGTGTGCGCCGCAGGGTCAGAGGGCACGGCAATTACCCCCTCAATCACTGTCAATAGATGCGGAGCCGTGAAAATTCTGACATGTCACTGGAAATGTCAGAAATATCCCGTCAGGTCCGTCTCAGGGTCCGGGTGAAATGTTGGCGCAGTAGGTAATCCAAGCTAGAATCGCTACTGACGAGATACGGTTTTAGAATTTAGAAACATCGTCTACAAGAGCAAAGAAGCGAGAACGCATTTATGAGATATTTATATTGAAACCAAAGGTACTGGACGACCAGGATTGTAGTCGTTTTCTATTGTTTATTGGGGCTTTAGGGCGCGCCGAGCTAGTCGTTTTCTAGTCGTTTTCTAGAAATTGCATTCCTGAGCAGGGCTGCGGACTGCGGGGTCAATTGATTTTCGGGTGACCACGACTCAGACTCCGGCTTTAAAAATCGACTCCGACTCAAGCTCAGACTCCGAGCGTTTCCATATGTGATAATGAAGTTCACAGCTGAGATGTTTTTATTTTGCATGAAACTATCTTAAATCTTTAATCGTTCCAAAGTCTTGCATTGCAAATTGTTGCCTCAATTACATTATAGAATTAAATGCAGGTTCTCGTTCTGGCGTACCTATCCGCCGTCTTCTGCTTCTAAATCGCTGAAAACGCTCGTCCAAAACAGGAATATGACTTTTTTCGACAAAATCTTATTTCGAAAGGTAAATGAGCGTATACATGCCAAATTATTGTTTCCAAATGACGTCGTAGGCATAGGCGCGGGAGCCGGGGGGGCAGTGGGGGCAGCCTGCCCCCCCCCAACTCTGGGGCCGTGGGGGCGGTGCCCCCACAGCTTTGAGACGGAATACCACACTTTTTTTTGCAAATGTTTTCTTTTTTTGTTGAAAAAGCCGAGGGGTGAAAAATAAGTGGCCTAAAACCGGTGAGAAAACTAGATTTGGGGGTACCCTAGGTTGTTCTCTATTATGGTGTGCCCCCCCAGTCGGAAAGTAGTTCCCGCGCCCCTGGTCGTAGGAGCAGCGAAGGTTAAAAAATTAACAAAGTAATTGTCTAATATATCAAAAAACTGGTTAATTTTTCTAATGAACTTTGGTAGGCAACCCCCCCCCCCCCGTCTAACTCGGCTCCTGGGCCTCGTAGCGACACGTGGTAAGCGGTATTCGAAAGAGCGTCAAAAATAATGACGGACATACTCCAGTCATTTTTTTTGGGGTCAGGTCAAAGGTCAGGTCACCAGAGGTCACCAAAGGTCAAATTTAGTCCATTTCAACAATTTTGGAAACTGCCAACGGCTAACTCGGGAATCAATAGAGCTACAGCGCCGCGGAAAAGCGCATTCGGTTTAGCCTCCAGAGGGCAAAAACTCTAAAAAATAGCCATTTTCACGAAAAAGTTTTTTCGGTAATAACTTTTGATTCAAGCATGCCATGGCCAGCATCGTGTTCCTCTCGTCGAGACGCGTCGAATGAACTATTCGTTGACCTTGAAAGGTCATTTTGAAAATTTGACCTCAGGTCAAGGTCATGACCTGACCGGGAAGAGTCATGTTGCATATCAGTCGATCCGTATCGTCGAGCTGAATACATCTGACGTGTTTTCATCGCTCTAGCACGTCTTTATCAAAAGTTATAGCAAAAAAAAAAACTGCTGGTGACCATTCATGACCTGAGATGACCTCAGGGGCACACAGAGTGGTCACAGATGCATTTTTTTCCGATTCAGTGTGTCATGTTTACCTATGAACCGATGTTTGAGAGGGTTTTGAGAGTCATTCGTCCAAAAGAGGCGCATTGCAATTTTCTCCCATTAACTTAGAATGGAGAGGTCGCAAAATTGACCGGACCTCAGGTCACCGATATCAATATTCAGAGATATACATTTTGTACATACTGTTACTCTTATCAATCGCTGAAAGTTTCAAGGCGATCGTTCAGTCGGTGTAGCTAGGACGAGGATTGAAACTTTTTCTGAGATGAGGCCATTTGACCTGACCTTGAGAGCCCTGGGTCTAAAATTTTCACGCGTTGAAAAGATGCATGAAAAGGGGTGCCAAAAAACGGCGGCGCAGATTTTGAGATATCTGCGAAAACCGCAGGGTGGGTGTTCAAACACCCCCCGGCCCGGCGGGACAACACTATTCGACCGCCACCCTTGCAGCCATTCTATAACTCAGGAACTACTGGACCGATCGGAACGAACGAAACACCATTCGAATCAAAGGGTACGATTTTATCAGCCGTTTCGAGGCTCGTGACCCCAGGTGACCTCGGTGACCTCAAGAGGTCAACTCGGCATTGACGCCAATTGCAGCCATTCTATAACTCAGGAACTACTGGGCCGATCGCGACGAAAACACCACCAGTCGAATCAGCGTATGCGATTTCATCGGCCGTTTCGAATATGGTGACCTCAAAACGTCAACTTTACGTTTTCGCCTATTGCAGCCATTCTATAACTCAGGAACTACTGGGCCGATCGTGACGAAAACACCACCAGTCGATTCAGCGTATGCGATTTCATCAGCCGTTTCGAATATGGTGACCTCAGGTGACCTCGGTGACCTTGGGAGGTCACATGACCGTTGTGGCCTATGGCAGCCATTCCATAACTCAGGAACTACTAGACCGATCGTGACGAAAACACCACCAGTCGATTCAGCGTATGCGATTTCATCAGCCGTTTCGAATATGGTGACCTCAGGTGACCTCGGTGACCTTTGGAGGTCACATGACCGTTGTGGCCTATGGCTTGGGAGGTCACATGACCTTTTGAGGTCACCTGAGGTCACCATATTCGAAACGGCTGATGAAATCGCATACACTGAATCGACTGGTGGTGTTTTCGTCACGATCGGCCAAGTAGTTCCTGAGTTATAGATTGGCTGCAATAGGCCACAACGGTCATGTGACCTCCCAAGGTCACCGATGTCACCTGAGGTCACCATATTCGAAACGGCTGATGAAATCGCATACGCTGAATCGACTGGTGGTGTTTTCGTCACGATCGGCTCCGTAGTTCCTGAGTTACAGAATGGCTGCAATAGGCGAAAACGTAAAGTTGACCTTTTGAGGTCACCTGAGGTCACCATATTCGAAACGGCCGATGAAATCGCATACGCTGATTCGACTGGTGGTGTTTTCGTCGCGATCGGCCCAGCAGTTCCTGAGTTATAGAATGGCTGCAATAGGCGTCAATGCCGAGTTGACCTCTTGAGGTCACCGAGGTCACCTGGGGTCACGAGCTTCGAAACGGCTGATAAAATCGTACCCCCTGATTCGAATGGTGTTTCGTTCGTTCCGATCGGTCCAGTAGTTCCTGAGTTATAGAATGGCTGCAAGGGTGGCGGTCAAATAGTGTTGTCCGGCCCGGCGCGGGTTAAGAGAACTACGAGGTGAACACAGTAATAAAACAGAATGACTCAGTACTGTCGTATAAGTACCGTGCGCTAACCGATTGCGCCACTGGAGCCGCCTTCCACTATAGTGGCAAAACAGAATGAGCTTCCACTCCACGGCGGTGCCTTCGGGGTCTTTCCGGCGCCATTCGAAAAAATGTGGTGTGGCAGTTGATCCCTCTCGTGATATCATCCATTATTTCCGTTCCGTTATGTGTACCACCAGACCGCTCGTTCAGTCGTCCCCTCCCCGGCAGCCCACGGTGCTGCCCCCTGCACCACGCGGCTCAATCTCACACATACGGCCCCTCGTGAGCCAGCAGAGCTCCCCCCCCCCCCGTAAACCCAGCAGCGACCCTCCCACCTCCAAAGGCGTGCTCCCGTTCGGGTGGTGTGTATGTATTGTAATATTAGGGGCAACGCGAGACGACACTTCACTTCTTGGCGGGTGCCGACGCGGGCGCTGCCTCCTTCTCCTCCTCCTGAATCACCTCCACCTTCTTCTGGGCCTTGCGCTCCTCGCGCCGCTTGCGTGCCTCCTTGACGCGGATACGCTTGGCGTCCGCCTGGTCCTGGAGCATCTTGGCGCGCGACACCTCGGCCTTCTTCTTGTGGATGTACTCCATCAGGGTGCGCTTGTTCTTGAACACGTTACCTGCGAGCGAGGCAGTAATGTTAGTACAGAAACCATCACACGTCACTAGGAAGCATACACATTACACACAGTAACATAACAATTTCAGGTGGGAATTACAGGCAAGAAAAAGGTCCATAAGGTCAAACAGGGACACCAGGGAGTTTTATTTAATAGCTTTGACGTATCAACGTTCATTTACTGTAAGAACGGAATGTGAAAAAGGATATTGAAAACCTTCCCACGGATGAAACATAGTGTACCGTTGAATGCTCTTATTTACATAGATCAGCATTGGATCCGGCTCCCCGACGCCTTGAAATAAAGGCCAGGCGCGGATTCCAAATCGCCAAGTTTATTTTCTTTTTTTTTCTATCAGAAAACATCAAATTCATCACGGTCCCATACGTGTATATACTACTCACAATAGACGCGTTTACATAGGGTTTGTTGCAAGCTTATATCTCCGTCCGTGATGTTGCAAAAGACGCCAATGGTGCTTAACAATTTGCAAAATGATCCCCTCTAAATATTTGAAGACCACTGCAACGAAAATATCGCCAAATTAACGGGCTAGAGCCTCGTCAAATATGCTATGTAAACCGGGTTAATGTAACAGCACAAGCGACATTTGGTTTGGCCAACGCAGGGTTGGATAAAAGCCGGCTTAAATTGAATTTATGCCAGCCAGTGGTTTAAACCGGCTTAAACCGGCTTAAATTAATAAAAACCACCTTCAGTCAAAACATCTACTATAACTTATCTTGTGGGTCAGTGTACTCGTTGGTGACTGTGCAGAGTGCAGGAAGTCAATACCGTGTCATTTTGTATTATGTCAACATGTTGGCATGTGATTATGTTGACAGTCTGGTCAGTAGGTAACTAAGCTAAAAAGCAAAGTAGGTATAAGGCATAAGCACATTCTAATCTTAACATTCGGTTTACCAGTTGAAAGTCTCACTTTATTTTACATGTAAAATGTATTCTGACCAATCGTCTGGGGACTGGGCTAGAAACTTAAATATTTTTCATGGTATCTATCACCCTTCCTGTGATTTTTTTAATTGCACAGGAAATAATTGTTTCCTGTGCAACTCATCATTTATAAATCTTCCTATGGTTTTTTCAGGTAGTGCATGTTGTTTTCTTGGTATAGCAGTGTCCCTAACTAATCACACTTATTGTTGTTTTTACATGAACTTTGGAGCCTATAATGGTTGCCGTGCTGTCAATTCCTTTGTTTAGTGTCACTGACTGCTTTAGCAATAGACAGTTCCCTAGTAAATAGGCAATGTTCTGTGTGATAGTTTTTAGGCCTTACCATTCACTGATCCTTGCACCATGCATTTGGCATTAGGTCATGTTTGCTACAGCTTCTCATAAAATTGAAATTGGTTTCTTTATTGAACCTGTCTCCAAGACTTTTCATTCCATGAACCACCCATGTTAACAACTAGTTGTGTAAAACACTGCAAATCAAAATAAAAATTTGATACAGGGTGATACAGATCAATAATGAATGACATCAAGTTAACCCCCAGGGGGAAAACATTACAAGTTAGCATGTATAATTGAAAGGTGTGTATAGAAAATGTGAAGAGAAGAAGCAGTTCAACCCAAGTGATGTTACGACAAGTTAACGGAAGGGGCATTTATTATGTTGGTGCACACTGGTTTAAACCGGGGTGGCTTAAATTAGTTTATGCCAGCCGGTTTAATCCATGGATTAAACCGGTTTAAACCGGCTGCTGGCATAAATTTGCCAACCCTGGGCCAACGTGGTGGCATTTTCAAACAAGGCCGTCAGATGTATCGCGACAGAATCCGCCGATTTATTACGTGATCGTAAGTATATGCGTTTCCAATAAAGTGAATACCAGCCACCGTTAATTCCCCAGTAGCCTAGTTGATGTTCATATTAAAGCTAGATCAGACATGCTCACTTGAAAGCAGCAAATACCAATGCGGTGGCGATTTACGCACGCTTACAGTAAGTACGATAATGTGGTACGTTGAATGTAATGACTGTCCAACATAAAAAACAATTGTGTCACTACTGAATCCACCCAGCCACAGACTTCTCTATGAAGAGCAGCCTGCGGCTCAGTGCTCCTGCTCACCCTTGGCCTTCTGGTAGAGCTCATGGTACATGTGGCTGTCGATCTTCTTGCTCTCACGATACCTCTTGAGCATGCGACGGAGCACACGCATGCGCCTCATCCACAGAACCTGACAGAAGAGAAGGGCGGTCAGAACAATTACCGACATTGTAGCGAATTTCCACAGCGGATTAATATATATTTGAACCATGTGAATCCGCTTATTTAATGATTCATCCTAATAGTTAAATCAAGGCACTAAACACCGACCCAGCACCAGGGATAGGAAAACACAGCCGTGTGCTAGTGATTTAGAGCGTAAGCCGTTGCAAAATTTCACTCGGAGCCGTCGGCATAAAATGAGGTGACTAAAAATAATTGTATTATCAGGATAAATCGATAATTTTGAAAAGCTTTAACTACAAGGACTTAGCCAGTGAGCACAAGCGTCAACCCCAGTACAAGCGAACGTGAAGGCCTTGTACAATCGCGACCCGAACCGTAAATTCGTTTGACAATTTTCTCTGCTGGGTGGCCCCATGCCTTCTGCTGCAAGATCAACTACTATTGATACATCTAGGGTAGCGTCGGGCACATAACATATCACGTGCCGAGTGAAGTGTCAAAGCTGTTCCGCTTACATAGCAATTGCGAGACGCTTTCATCATCGCAACCGTTAATCTGCTCATGTTCTCTGTTGAGCAGTAAGAATTTACCTTTAACCCGCGCCCTGCTGGGGGGGGGGGGGTGTTTGAACACCCCACCCTTGTGGTTTTTTCGCGAATATCTCAAAAACGGCGCCGCGCCGCCGTTTTTGGTACACCTTATCATACATCAATTCTACACATGTTGTGAAAATTTCAGACCAAGGTCATTCAAGGTCAGGTCACCAGGTCACTTGAAGTAACCTCACCTCATAAAAAGTTTCAATGTCTGTCATAGTTACACCGAGTGACCGATCGCTTTGAAACTTTCAGCGATTGCTAAGAGCAATAGCATGTACAAAATGTATATCTCAGAATTTTGATACCGATGACCTAAGGTCAGGTCAATTTTGCGACCTCCCCATTATAAGTCAATGGGAGAAAATTGAAATGCGCCTCCTTTGGACGAAAGACATTATAAACACTCCCAAACACTGAATTACAAGTGGTTTAGACACACTGAACATGAAAATGGTGTCCGTGACCCCTGTTTATGCCCTGAGGTCATCTTAGGTCACGAATGGTATCTAACAGTTTTTCGCAAATAACTTTTGATAGAGGCATGCTAGAGCGATGAAAACGCCTTAGATGTGTTCAGCTCGACGATACGGATCGACTGATATGCAACATGACCCTTTCCGGTCAGGTCATGACCTTGACCTGAGGTCAAATTTTGAAGTTGACCTTTCCAGGTCAAGTTATAGTTCATTCGATGCGTCTTGACGAGAGGAACACGATGCCGGTAAAAGTAAGCTCGTACAAGGCTTGGGTCAAAAGTTATTGCAGAAAAACTGTTTCCGAAAAAATCGGCTGTTTTTGAAGTTTTTGCCCCCTGCAGGCAAAACCGTTGACGTTAGGTCAAATCTGAGAGAATTACTCAGAAAGGGCGTTAATAGGGCTATCGAATGCGCTTTTCCGCGGCGCTGTAGCTCTATTGGTTCCCGAGTAATGCGTTGGCTTCTTGGAAATTGTCGACATTCGACCTGGAAATCGGCGAAATTTTGCCTTCAATGACCTCTGGTGACCTGACCAAAAAATTGACCGAAGTGATTCCCTCATTATTTTTGACGCTCTTTCGAACGCCGCCTTCCGCGTATCGCTACGTGGCCCAGGAGCCGAGTTAGAAGGGGGGGGGTGTTCAAACACCCCCCCCCCCCCCAGCAGGGCGTGGAAATCCAGGACCCCCAGCCGGGCGCGGGTTAACCTCTGAATTGACTACCTAACTGTTAATGCACCTACCTAGATAGCTATAACAGAAAGTGCCAGTGTCAACTGGGGGTGTTAAATGTCTGTTCTGTTCTTCAGCTCTTCTGCTTCTACATACTTCACGGAAACTGTTCTGCTTATCTGTCACGGCTGGGATTGCGTGCGGAATGCGGATGGTGTGCTGCCTTCACATTTCAAGATCAACTGGGCCGAAAACACTCAAATTGGTTTACCGCTGGGTACTGGTTGGGAATGTAGCCTTCTAATATCAGTTGGAGCTCTCTTTGAACATTCACACGTGCAGGGCAGCTCACTAGTGCACTCGCTCGTTGGTCACCCCAAACGGCGTGTATCACTAGCTAAGTCCTGTTAAGCATAATACAGAAATCAGCTCCATTTAATTCATAAGAAATTCGAGGGGAAAACACAAGTCAGCTGAACTTCAGCAACTGTTAAACTTTCACATAGAAGCTGCTGTTGCTGCTGTAGCCATTGACCTCATTCACAATTCACACACCAATGAGAAACCATGCCTAACATAGGTAATATACAATATACATTAAGGGCAAGAAAATCACAGACCCTCTGCCAGACCACAATTGTTGATACTTTTAATAATTAACGTTCAATAGCTTATGCTGCTGCTCACCTTCTGGGGCATGCGGGCATTGGCGGTACCCTTCCTCTTGCCATAGCCGCTGTGGCGCCCCTTGGCCTTGGCCTCCTGGTAGCGGCGCACCCGGGAGCGGGAGTGGACGGCGATAGGCCTCTTCACCACCAAACCATCCTTCACTAGCTTACGGATGTTCTGCCCTGTGAAAAAGAAAATGATGGTGAATGAAGAGCATACTCAGTATTGCCAGACCTTTATATAGAAGTAAAGTTAATAAAAACAGCAAAAGCAAGCATTTACAAATCACATTTACCTATCTAACCAGTCTTTATAGCTATTCAGTGTGCCATCAAGCAAATCTAACCTAGGGCAACCACAGCACAAATGTGAATGCAATGAAGACCATACTGTTTGAACCAAGGGCAGAAAAGTTCTTTTGGCAGACATGAAACAGTGTAATTAAATTTTTTAATGTAATTAAGGTGAGACATTGCAAAATAATAACTACTTCTCAGCTGTGTACAATAAAAGAAAAAGGCAACTTACGGGAGTTGGCATTGGCAATATCATTAGTTTCTGTGGGATCAAACCACACTCTCTTCTTTCCACATTTCAAGACTGCCTTTACCAGACGCTTTTGCAAGCGTAGTTTCCTGAAACAGAGCAGTTGTTAGCATGCACTTTACACAGGTCACAAGATTCAATATTGAGACTTGGGTGAGATGAACCTGGCACCAATTAAAGTTTAAATTGAACATATTCGTAAACACCAGCTCTTTTTAAGAGCACTCCACACCAGCTTACTTTGAAACTGTGAACGACACTGACCCAGAAACTGGTATATGCGCGGATGAAGTACAGTCCGTTAATTCAATTGGTAGGTCAGAGGTTGGTAGGATGTATGTTAGTAGCTGTAGTAGCTCTAAGTTGAAGGCTGTGTTGAGGGCTGTAGTTCAGTGGGTAAGGTTAGGTCAGGTTAGATTATGTTTTTATCTTTGCCATACTTCATCAACAATTTACTTTGTGTGCCTCCCAGTCTCCAGTTCAAGTTGATGGCAGATGTACCACAAGTCACAAGTACGAAACAACAAAAAAGAACGAAGAATTACAATTTAAAGATGGTGCGTTACATGTAATGACAGAAGAAATCACTGAATCAACCCATTGCCAACCACGCAGATTACGACGGGTCAGATTTCCGAATCTTTCGGAACAGATTGCAGACAATAAAAACTCTGAAGGTAGACATACTCATATCAACATATTATAAAAAGAAGTGCTGAATTTTATGACAACGCTATTATAGACTTTAAACAGCTTTAACTATGAAAATGCCACAAATTCACTTACGTCATGTTTACCCCCCGAGTTTGCCCACTAAAAGAACGAACACTCGCACCGGAAACTCATACTCCAGATGAAAATAGTAATGGTAAAAGTTGACATCAGTTGACATTTTTCTCGAAAACACCCATTGTCTATGATATTAATAAAATGATTTTTTAACTGTTATTCGTATGGGAAGAAACAGATGAATACCAAATAAATTTTCGAATAGCAAAACACAAAAAATCATTTAGTGTTCATCCGCAACAAAAATTGCCTAAAACGCTGCAACACGTTGTGCGATAATTGATCCAGGCCAATCCAGGCTATGGTGCGATTGCAAATGGTACACAAACAAATATTGCTTATAACAACAAATAAATTAAAAATCAGCCACAAAACACATCTTTCTTAAAACGCAAAAGTGTCGCATATTTTGGCCATGGCACTTGAGCTGACAAAATACATCGACAAAACGTACAAAGGGCCTGTTCCAGCGCCTCCAGAAACCTCCAGAAAGCTCCAGAAAGCTCTAGAATCCTCCAGAGAGCGTTCCAGCGCCTCCAGAAAGCTCCAGAAAGCTCTCGCCAAAGCTCCAGAAACCTCCAGTAGCCTCCAGAGAGTTGAGAGGTCCAAATTTCTCTGGAGGCTCTGGTCTACAATTATGGCGCACATGTGACAATCACGAATGTAAACAAAGGACATTTGACTGATTATTTTACAACTTGAATGTAAAGAAAATTACATTGCTATAATTTTCTTACTCTTTGTTAATAAAATTGAAACCAAATTTTGTGTTTCAAGAGAGAGCAATCGTCATTCTTTTGGTATATGTGATGCCAATCTCCAGAAATCTCCAGATTGCGTTCCAGCGCCTCCAGTAAAACCTCTGGTAGAGCCTCCAGTCAAGAATTTCTACTGGAGGCGCTGGAACAGGCCCAAAAATATAACAATTCTCGAAATTACGCAAAATGCTAAGAGTTTATTCATGAGAATTTTAACACATATTAATCCCACTTATAAACGGGGGGATTAATTATAAATTATGAACAGAAATAGGATACATTTTTGCCATCAAACTTACCGATATGATTCGTCGTATTTATGACGTCATTAAATTCAATGCGAGATCAAACTGAAACTTGTGGAAATGTTGTCTTTTGTTTACAATCGGCCGGCATTCGAGGTGTAGGCTGGTGGGTGGGAGGCGCTTCGCTTCCAGGCTCGAGGCCCTGCGCAAGTGATTGTGGTAAGAGAAGTCTCGTTCTGTAGCCTTGGAAATATCCAGTGAAGACTTAAATGCTAGCATTGTTGCATGCAATTGCAGACTCATTTCAATTTGCTTTAATGCCCTTTGATGCATCAGACCGCATCACACTTTAACTTGTTATTTTTTAACGCTTAAGCCACTGTGACAAGCGGTGGCCTTGAGATGAGTGCCAGTGGTGTCACAATTCATCATATTACACCTCATCCTGACACAGTTGTGTGATGTGTCTGCTTTGAACAGATCACTTCAGCTGGTTTTTGACTGTCATCAGTCTGCTGGCTGCCTGACCACCATGGGTCTGCTCTCTGAGGGCTCACCACTCTCCTGGCCAGAGACCAAGAGGCTGGCACCGCACGTGCAGCGTCATGGCATCGAGCAGTTCATCAACCAATTCCGTAGGCTCAAGGAGCGGCGTGGCGACAGCCTCAAATGGGGCGATGAGGTGAGCAGCCCCATGGAAGAGGCAGGGTGAGACATGCTCACCTTCAATTAGAAATGACTAGCAATCAGTGAGTCAGTAAGTGAACACTGACAGGCATTAGGAAGTTGTTTTCCTTGACCTTCCTACATGTTAAGCTCATAACAGACTATTCCTTTGTCAGGACCTGAAATACTTATACCTGACTGCTGGTTGTCAGTTTCATTTGTTGCTTGCTTACTTTGTGCCACTTCTCAGCCGAAGATTCACGTCAAGACATCTGGATCCCTCACCCTGGACCTTATTTCTGATGATCTGGGGTCTTTTTCCTCTGAGCTGAATTTATAACATTCCACATGTGTGTTTTATTTTTGCTCGGTCTCCTATCCTGCACTACTTATGAGTCGTTCTGTGACACGCTGGTACGTCTCTGCTCTTCAGGTTGAGTACATGGTGCTGCGTCTGAACCGCGAGGCGCGCACGGCCCGCCTGTCGCTGCGATCTCCCGAGCTGCTGGACCAGCTGCAGGCCACGGAGCGGCAGGACCCTAGGTAAGGTGATTCGTGAGACCGCCGCGCCGCTGTTTACTGTTGAACTGTTGAGGCAGCGGTAAACTACCAGCCACTGTCGGTGCAACAATATCCAGTGACCAGTTACTGTCGGTGCAATGGTAACCACTAACCAGTGATGGGTTAGTGTCAGTGCAACGATAACCAGTGATCGGTTTCTCTCTGTGCTCAGTACAGCAGTGACCAGTGACAGTTACTGTCAGTACAACGGTAACCAGTGACTGGTTACCGATGATTCGATGGTGATGGTACTACTTGTATTCGCGATCTGCACTCGGCCTTATAATATCCCCTCTAACCAATCACATCCATCACGAATGCCTCGTTCTAACGCCCCCTCCCCTCCCTCCCGACAGCGCGGCGCCTTCGCTGTGGCGACCCGAGTATGGAGCCTACATGGTGGAGGGGACGCCGGGCCAGCCGTACGGCAGCATCGTCTCCTTCTTCAACACGGTCGAGTCCAACATGCGCGCCCGCCGCCGAGAGGTGGAGGCGATCCTGCAGCCGGACGAGATCCTGCTCAGCATCACCAGCTTCCCCAGGTGAGCGGCCGGCGGGGCGGGGTGGGGTGGGGAAGGAGTTTTACCAGCAGGGCGCGGCCGCCGCTGGTTATATTGGTGATGCTGGAGTCTCGTTCTGTCTGGTTGAAACCAGGGCTGCGGAGTCGATGGATTTTCGGCGACTCCGACTCCGACTCCGACTCCGGCTTTCAAAAACCAGCTCCGACTCCGACTCCGACTCCGGGCAGAATTGTCGACTCCGACCGACTCCAACTCCCGACTCCGACTCCGCAGACCTAGCAGGGCTGCGGAGTCGACAGATTTTCGGTGACTCCGACTCCGACTCCGGCTCGGGTTTCTAAAATCGACTCCGACTCCGACTTCGACTCCGGTCATAACTGTCGACTCCGACCGACTCCGACTCCGACTCCGACTCCGCAGCCCTGGTTGAAACGCAATTAGTTGTTTGCTGGGCGTCTGTTCGTCTGCTGTGTACAATCACCGTGGAGTGGTCACCAAATGTTTCTGTCGCGTGGTTGTGTGTTCCGACATGCAATCAGTCGATCCATTGATTTTCCCCGATTGGGAACCTGTTTGCGGAAAGCCTGACCCTGGCGTTAGTGGAAGAGATGTAAACAATCTGAAGTTGACATACATCCCAAACTATTATGAATGATGAACATATTGAGGCGGCGAATACCGAATACCAAGTTGAAGGTCACAGGTACTGGTAGTGACCTTCAAATTTCCTTTTTTCTCACCAGTTGCATCTTTGAATCGCGATATCTGTCCCTAAGGCCAAGCCTAGTAGAACCGAAGGACCCCCTGCCCTAGGACACCCGCTCCGGCCAGCCGTCCGGGCCAATCTCGGAGTACCCTCAGGGTCGTCCGGATACCCTGTCCCGCCCCGTCTTAAAACGCTAGGCGGCTGAACCCATCACCGTAGACCTAGTTGCCACGCGGCTGTCCCTCCCATACCGTAGCTCGTATATTTGCCTTAGTCGTGACGGATGGACCCTGTTGGTCAGCCACACACTGCACCGGTCCTGCCGGACGCCGGCGGTGGGGACACGCCGGTAGCAGATATAGCTCACTCGCATTAGCGACATTCGTATTTCATGCCTGTGGCATGCACGCTGAATGTCTGACGTTACTGTAGATCATAGACAGACATGTGCATGGATCCGAGTGATGTATCTATGATCTCAGTGGATCTCGAAGCAAACTGCAGGCTAGGATCTAAGATCCCATTGAATCCGGCGTGAAAAAAATCATCCTGGATCTGTGATCTTATACGATCTGACGATAAACCAAGAATATGGATCTATGATCTGAGTGGATCCCACCATGCAGAACATTTGAAACCATGCTTTTAACTTTTTAAAGGAAAAGGGTCACCTTTAACATGGGGTTTGAAACTGAGATGGCCATCTTGTAGCCCGTGTCCGAAAACCCCGAGAGTGTCCCACCTTACGGCCGATTTCGGCCTCCATTTGTAGGTATCGGCAATTTTAAAAGAAAATATGCCAGGAATGCGTCCTTATCCCAGGAATGCGTTCTTATCCTGTAATACAGCCACCCGCGGCGAGGCTTTGGTTTTTAACCAATCAGCTCCAATCAGCTCAGCTTTAACCAATCAGCTAATCTGACACAAGCCGGCGAGACTGTCGTCTGAAGGCTGATTGGCTTGAGTGTGATGTCATCGCTATGACATCATACAGAAGGTGCGGTAGAGAGTACAAACATAGTACCAATATGTTAAATAGTTTGACATACTTTTTTGAGAATTATGCACTTCTGGCACCAGATTTAAAAAAAACATAAAAAATAATAATGTCAAAATGAAAAGCAACGATATCTTCATATTTCACGAAGGTGGCACTTTTCCTTTAAGGGTTTCTGTGTCAATAAGTGCCACAAAACTATGGATTATGGCGTGCGAGCACATGAAACCAGTATAGCGCCTTTTGGGGCGACTAACGGAGCGAGCTAGAGGGTGAGCCTTGCACGTGCGAAATTTCGAGGGGGTACCTCCAGCTGACTTGTGCACGGCACCCTACTAACCGGTCTCTAACGATGTGCCAAATTTGGGCACAATCGGCCCAGCCGTTCTCGAGATCTGGAAGCGGCACCCTGCACGTGCGCACGTGCAAAATGGGTCCCAACTGACTTGTGCACGGCACCCTACTAACCGGTCCCTAACTGTGTACCAAATTTGAGCGCAATCGGTCGAGCCGTTCTCGAGATCTGGAAACGACCCCTGCACGTGCGCACGTGCAGCAGCACCCCAACTCTGGCACATGGATATGCAGTGCCTAGTGGGTGCCTACCTACATGCCAACTTTCAGCGCAATCGGCCAAGTAGTTACCGAGATATTGCAACAATTACCAAACTGACACCTCTTCGTTTTGCACGTGGCACGTGCATAAGGGGTCACCCACATGCGTCGGGAATAGCCCAATACTTGGTAGAAGGAATGAAGCTACCCTACAAAATTTACCGCATGTAAATCGGTCAAGTGGTTGCTGAGATATAAGCCTCGCAAAAGCGTGACCACGGCCGGCCGGCCGGCCGGCCGGCCGGCCGGAAGGAAAAACTACGCTCGCTTCGCTCGCTCCGTAATCACTGAAACAGAGCTTTTGTGAGCTGCAACAGTGCTTTTTTAGTTTTTCTGTGTTGACAAAAAATAAGTGAGGATCTATGATCTCACTGGATCTCAAGCAAAAAATGAAACTCGGATATGGGATCTCTCGATGAATTAGAGAGCTGGATCTATGATCCCATCGGACGTTCGGATCCGAGATCAGGATGCGTGGGATCAGGTCCCAGATCCATTTTCTCAGATCCATGCACATGTATGTTAGAGGCATACAGTAAAGCTGTGTAGTCCACGGCATATAAAGAGTATAAGTATGGTCGCCGGCGTCCATTCCCGTCACAGTGATGAGCTTTGTTCCGGATGTTCGCCGTCTAGTGTTTGCAAACAGTTGTGAACTTATGCTTAGCAATGACATAATTGCTGGTTTTAATCGATAAGTGATGAAAAAACTTTATTTTTTAACTTAAAAAACGGTCAAAAGCTAGATCTGTATGAAGTAAACTAGTCGCTGACAAATTAGACTCTTCAGAGAACGAGTAGTCGTTCTCTGAGGAGTTTAGAAACTCGGCTGCTCGGGAATTCGTCACCGACGTTACGGTCGACACGGCAGGGCGGGACTTCCTGGTAGCTCTGGCCTGTCCCGGTACGACTGAAAACAAACATTGTCGAGCCGCCCGGGGCCGCACCGACCCGCTGCTGCTCTATCGGCATGACCGAGCATGAAAGGCTGGTTGAGAGTGCTGGGAGCCGCTGAAGCACGCTGACGCTGCTGTGTCCTGCGGCATGATGTTGTTTATGTATCTACACGGTTCGTGTATTCACATCGTCACCATTACGGACGATTATACACAGTGCGAGCGGACTATTGTACAATACTCATTGCACACAGTGGACGGGTTTCTATCTTACTCTGAATAGCGATGCTATGCGAGCTGCCCTAACAGCAGTCCGGTCGCGGTGGGGTCGTTTGCTGCGCCCAGCTGTGACAAATTAGTCGCTGACAAATTAGTCGATCTCTGGCGTCTGGTACTCCGCTTTCTAATTACTGTAAAATAATGTAACGAATAGATGTCCCGTAATTGGGGACAACGCACAGCTCTGGTGTTTGCCAATATAATAAACGCGACAAAGCGCTGTTGTGTTGGGTGGTTTCTAACTATGTAACAAGGAAACAATGACATCACTGAAATACCTGATTTATTTGAAAATTTATCGCCAAATGTTTACAGTCATACCTCATCGCACCAACCGCTCATAATCATAACCAATTTTAAGAGAACGGCACCGATGGCCCTCCGGACACGTCACCGGTAATTATGTATGCTCGTTTCTGTGTCGGCAGGCTGGGCTGCGGCGTGTTCACCGACCCGCCGTGCTACCCGACGCCGACGGCCGGCTCCTCCCAGTCGCTCTTCATACCGGAGGAGGTCATCTTCCCGGCCCACCCGCGCTTCGCCACGCTGACACGCAACATCCGCGAGCGGCGCGGCAAGAAGGTGGCCATCAACATGCCGATCCTGGTGGACGAGCGCACGCCGCGGCCGTTCATCGAGGACCTGTCCCAGTACGGCGACGACGGCCGCTCGCAGCGCGCCGCCCTGCCCGACCACGTGTACATGGACGCCATGGCGTTCGGCATGGGCTGCAGCTGTCTGCAGATCACCTTCCAGGCGGAGAACCTGCTGGAGGCGCGCCGGCTGTACGACCAGCTGAACCCGCTGTGTCCCATCCTGCTGGCGCTGACGGCGGCCTCGCCGGTGCACCGCGGCCACCTGCTGGACACCGACTGCCGCTGGGACGTGATCGCCATGTCGTGCGACTGCCGCACCGACCAGGAGCGCGGCCTCGAGCCGCTCACCACAGAGCGCTTCGTCATCCCCAAGTCGCGCTACGGCTCCACCGACTCATACATCTCCGAGTGCGGCCGGCCCTACAACGACGTCAAACTAGTGATGGACGAAGAGCTGCATGCGCGGCTGCGCGAGGGCGGCATCGACGACCTGCTGGCCGCGCACGTGGCGCACCTGTTTGTGCGCGAGCCCATCTCGCTTTTCTCGGAGAAGATCGAGCAGGACGACTCGGTCGACATGGACCACTTTGAGAACATCCAGTCGACCAACTGGCAGACAATGCGCTTCAAGCCACCGCCGGCAGGCAGCAATATCGGCTGGCGCGTCGAGTTCCGACCGTGCGAGGTGCAGCTGACCGACTTCGAGAACGCCGCCTTCGTGTGCTTCGTGGTGCTGCTGACGCGTGTCATCCTCTCCTACAAGCTCAACTTCCTCATCCCTATCAGCAAGGTGGACGAGAACATGAAGCGCGCGCACCGGAAGGACGCTGTGCTGCGCGAGAAGTTCTGGTTCCGCTCCGACTTCCTCTGCGACGGCTCGCCGAGCATGGACGCCGAGCAGGAGTACAGCGAGCTGACCATCAACGAGATCTTCAACGGCAAGGGAGACGAGTTCCCGGGCCTGGTGCCGCTCGTCTCTCACTACCTGAACGCCATCAACATTGACGCCGACACGCGCTGCACGACCGGCCAGTACCTGCAGCTGATGAGGCGGCGCGCCTCGGGTGAGCTACAGACCACGGCGCGCTGGATGCGCGAGTTTATCGCCGGCCACGCCGACTACCAGCGCGACTCGGTGGTGCCAGAGAGCACGGCGTTCGACCTGATGGTGGCCTGCCACGAAGTGACCACCGGGCGGCGGCCGGCGCCGGCGCTGCTCGGCGGTCTGGGCACCTCCCGTACCGAGAATCACCTGCCGGCGGCCATCCACCGCACGCCGTCACTCTACAAACAGGACGCACAGACGTAGGGCGCGGCGCCGCGGCACCCGGCGCCCGGCCGGGCTCAGGGGCCACTCAGGACAGCGCCGTGTGTGCGGGTCGCGGAACGCCAGTGAGGGCTGGGCGGAAAGAGCTACACCCGCTGCCAGTGAGGACATTAGGGATGAACTCTGTGCGGGGACCGAGGGGCCAGCCTGTCGGACCAACCTATAGTCGCAGGGGCTGCGTGATTTAGCCCCGGCAAGAGCGATGTAGCCTTTCCACGCTGCGTAGACTGAGTTCCGTCGGGCCGGTCTCGCAATCCTACCAGTCGCACCGATTCATTCGCGAGCCGCAGGCAATCCACGCCAATGCATTTTCTATAGGCCAATATGTGAGGTGTGTCTGTGTGTGTGCGTGCGCGTGTCGTAGTGCAATCTACAGCACACGGGCTTGTCCCGGCTGATAGTGATTAGTCATGATTTGTGCAATATGTGAATATTGTAGCGGGTTTAGCTGTAGAGAGCAGCTGACAATGATAGGAATTCAATCTTGGTAGCTCAAATCCATCGAATTATGCTACCGAGCGACGAATGATGGAGACGTGCCACCAATTATCCGACCAGTAGCGCACGGCAATTGCCAATATTGTCATTTGTAGTCTGATTTTCTCGGTCGTTATTCTGCCTGCATGCCTTTCATCACAGACGTTACGTAACGGGCCGCGCTCGGCACCCGTCCGGCCGCGCCAGCCTGTCACATACAGACGTGCACCCAGACAGCCTGCTTTATGGCGCTCAGGGACGGTAAACAAAGGTTGAAGGGACACGGGGTACACAGCGGAGACCTGAACCCGGGTGCTCAGTTGCTAGCTGATTTATTGATTTCAGTCTCGCGTGCACGTTCGTTTCACGTTTGCTCCACCTGGTTAGGATCATTGATTCAACAGCGACCCTACAAACCGTTCGAGATCGTTGTAGGTCGCCAGTAAAATTGACTACTGTATAGTGTATATCAATTTTGATAAACAATTTATAATGTTGAATCACGTCATCCGTTTGAAAATATGTAGGACGATTTTTTTTAGACTCAGAGCGTTGTTTTTATCGTAGTGAATGAGACCTCGAACAATCTAACCATATTCCACTCTACTACGGTAGCTACTGACCCCGTGTGGAGCCGTCCGTCCGTGTACTCTGTTCCGGGCAGTGCCGCCCGCCGCGGCGGCGGGCACGGTGCCAGCCGCGCCGGCCGCACAGGTCAGGGTGACTCGGCACTTTACCCCTGCCCCCCAGCGGCGGCTCTCAACATCGATCGGTCATCCTGCGCCGTCCAGCGGTCACGGACATCACCGTGACTCTTCCGGCGGTGAGGGCAGCGGTGACACCGCCGAGGTGCCTCGTCAGCGTTACGGGGGCATCTTGTCACAACTCACAACCGGCGTCTCAGGAATGCCGAGTCAGTGCGAGGGCGCTTGCACTAGTCAGCAGGCGGGAGTGTTGGGCGGGGCCATTGTAGATCCCGCCCCAGTCACTCGTAGCGTAGAGGCCTTGCAAATGCGTCGATTTTCGTCCCGAATGTATTGAACTCCGGCTTCACACATCATAAAGATACCATCACAACAAAGGGGAAATCACAATTTCTTAGGCCTATCACGTTCTGTTAGAATTAAGTTGATTGCTCTTTCGATGGTATCGAAAAAACTGGCTTCAACCAGCAAACCTCGAGGAAACGAATGGGCGATGCTAGTGATAGGTAATGCTCTGACCGTAACAGAAGCGCGTGTCACACCGCATCACGTTCTGCCGTCACACCGAGTCCCTGACCGCGGTCCGTGGGGTCGGCCGGCACCACCTGACCCAGTCCCTGACCCCGGTCCGTGGGGTCGGCCGGCGCCACAGAGTCCCTGACCGCACAGTCTGCTCCCTATCACCAGTCGACGCGAGTCCCTCCCCGGCCAGGCCGTATGAAATAACACACATACCTACACGCACAACCTTCACTCGTGCAAGTTTCCTCTGACGATCGCGACAACCACCGACCCCGTTCGTCCAGTGTCTCGCCGCCAGCCTTCCCGCGGCGTGCTCCGATTTGGTTGTGACGTGACGTGTGTGCCGCGCGCGTAAGGCAGTGATACAAACCACACTGCCGGTCATCACAAGCAGACCGCCCCGGACACACAGGCACACACACAAACGGACAGACAGACACACAGGCTGGAATGGAGGGAGCCGCACCTCCCAGCGCGGGCTGACGCGACCGCCCCTCACACCTTCCTGTGAAAACCAGAACGGGGCACACGGTCAGCGGTCTGGGGACATATTTGATCAAATATTTAATATTCGGATACATACAACTGTGCAAATATCATTTGCTGCCCTGCCTATTATCACATACATTGGAACGAATCTATCCCACATTCCAACATAAAACCTTGGCCATTGTAACATAAGTCACACACTAGGCAAACTAACTAGTACCCCTCTCGCCTCCGCGCAGACGCAATAGCCATTAGCCACACGACCCTCTGCACACGTGAGGGGCGCAAATCGATATCGTGTTCCCATCCTGTTTCTCGGAAGCCGCCGGTCGTTTGTGGCGGCGGGCATAGAAGTGCAACGATCGGTTATAGTCGCAGGCGGCAGGGATCATTTATTTTGTCGATTCAACCCCTGTCGTGCGGGCAGAATCACCATCGGTACCCGACAACATGGTGCGAATCAATACCATGAACGTTATTCATCCAGTCATGTTTGAGATCAATAATCGTGTATGAAAGACCACTGGAACGGCCTTAGGAAATTAAGCATAACCGTAACATGGCTACTTAATGATAGCCTTTGAAATGCAGCAACCATTTGTAGAATTAATGAATATGCTTCGTGCAAAGCATTACCTTATTAATTTTATTAGCGTTGTCAAGCATTGCAAAGCAAGACATTACGCCAATTAAAGGTCCTACAGGGTGTCCCGAAAGTTTTGCAACATCCTTAACGTTGTAAATTAAACACTTCAGAGTTGTCCTTTCCGCTTTATTTAACAACCAACATAGTCACCGCGAAGCCGGGCACACTTCTGGACACGTGATGGCATGCTGGCCACCAGGCGGCGCAGTGTGTCCGCGGAGATGTCTCTCCAGGCCTCCTTCAGCCGGCGCTCGAGCTGACCCAGGTTGGTGGCGGGCTCCTGCTGGTCGAGGCTCTCCTTCATGATTGCCCACACATTCTCTATCGGGTTTAGGTCGGGGGAGTTGCCAGGCCACTCCCCTTTACCCCAAAACCCTGGGAGGTGTTCCGCACATAATTCTTGTGTCCGCTTTGCGGTGTGTGCTGGTGCGCCATCTTGCATAAAAATTCCTTCTGACCTCCGGTCGACGATTTTCTTCTCCGTGACACCGCCATTGCTGCTCTTACGGTTGACCGCCGGCAGAAGTGAGCCCTCCAGAATCTCGGACACGTAGTATGCGGTGTTGACAGTCTGGTTTTTTGGCACCACGTGAAGTTCAGTCAGGCCCTGTGCGGTCATTCCGCCCCACACCATGAGTTTCGCGGGGTGCTTGATGGTTTCAACCGGGGGCACTTCGTCGCGAGATTTCGCCCAGACTCGATCGTTTTGCCGATTTGGCGTGTGCTGGATTTCGAAGATGGACTCGTCGAACCAGATGACGTTCTTGAACTCATCGAAGCCCCAATTGTTTACCCTCTTGCAAAATTCCAATCTTGCAAGCTTCTGTTTTCTTGTCATTTTCGGCTGTTTTGATCTTTTGTACGACCGGAAATGCTTCAACTGGGTCATGAACCGATGGACACCCGACTTTGACACCGGGTAACCCTTTCGCGTCAGCCGCGTGGCCAATTTCCTGACGCTTTGGCCACGCTTGCCAGCAGCTTTGGCACAGACGATTCTGGCGACGTTGGACACGGCACGCTGCCGGCCTGAACGTTTCTTGTCGGCTAACGGTTTGCCGTCGCGAAAACGTTTCCACCACCGGTAGACAGTGGTCCGATCGACGCCCAGCTTCTCTGCGACAACCCCCTGCGCCACGCCACCTTCCAGCAACCCGATCGCGCGGGAGCGCACCGCCTCTCTGCGCGTTACCCGTCCGGCCACCTTCATGTCTGCGACTGACCTAAGGTCAGACGGCGGCCGCCCCAGACGGGTCAGCCGTGCCCCGCGGCAATAACCGCCGCTGGGTCGGGTGGGCAGTCGCGCCGTCTACCCGGGACAAGCGGAAGGTTGCCAGTGGAACGTTGATATTTATAGCGGTAGAGACAAAACATATGGGAAAACGGATGTTGCAAAACTTTCGGGACACCCTGTATATCTCATGAGTCTGAAGCACGACACGATAAAGTCCTGCTGGTTCCAGAACTTATGACACGGCCAGACCACTAATTGCATACTTCTCATTCACTGCCGATTCCGTTTTTGAAAGGATGCGAATCATGAGGAAGAGCACCGCCTCTGCGGAACTTGCGTTTGGATAATTAGGCAATCAAAGCCGTCGCAATCGCGTCGACTCGCACAAAACTATGAAAACTAGCACCGAAGCATCAGACTTAAAGGACGGTAATGGGAGAAGTGTTGCAGAAGAATAAAAAAGGCCAAATAGTTTTTTAAGATGTATCCATCGTCGATAGGCCTTACGTTGCCAGCAGGTAACCTCAGAAATGCTTTGAAAACTGTATTTTCTGACCTTAACTGCATTTTCTCCAAAATATTGCCACTTAGCGCTGTCTTCCGATTGCTTATGTGAGCACATTTATAACTGTTTAGCATGCTCCAGCTCACACTCCAAACCGCTAGCATCCCGAACGCCCGATACAAGCCCGTACACCCGGGTACACACCACGCGGCGGCGGCCGGGCCGGGATCACACGCGGAGCCAAGGCCAGTCGGGCCGGTCACTATAAACAACGCCGGTGATCTATTGTAAGTCTGACCTCGGGACGGGCGGGCGGGCCAACAGACCCCGCTACTCGCACCGGGACCAGACCAGGACCAGGACCGGGACCGGGACCAGACGTCAGACCGTGACCTCCCGGCCCTGCTCCGATGGTGTGGTCTGACGAATTACTGAGCTGGGGGGGGGGGGGGATATGGCCTGGCATGTGCGGGCGGTACGCGGTGTAAGCGGCACCTACTGTTTGCGCTTGGCCGCCAGGCGGGCGAGTGTGTCGTGGCCGCATAGGAACGTCACCACGCCGATGCCGAACAGGTACTTGACCGTGGTGAACATGTTCAGCTGCAGCCAGAAGCCGACGTACAGGGCGAAAATGGCTGCGGACGGCGAGAGCAGGGCGGTCAGAGACACGACAAACGCGTCCCGCGGTATCGGTAGTACAGTTATCGTCACAAACTGATGGTGAACAACCAGAGAGTGAACAGCAACGCAACGATTACATTGCATGACACTCAAAGCAGGAAAACGATGGATCATGACCAAGTCAAACACATCAATATCAAAGAGCATTTTAATATCATAAGGGTATGTTCAATCAATGAGATCATTTTAGTAGTATTATCTGATCCAACAAGTCAGAATGCGTCCGCTGTTTAGCCGAAAAACCAAAACCGAGTCATTTGGGCCAATCAGCATGATTGGCTGACCGGTCCCGGTCAGTCAGTCAGGGTTAGTATGTAAGGTCAGATGAGTGCAGTACGCTCCTCACCTCCGATACCGGCCAGGAATCCGATGGCGGACAGCGAGATGGGGAACTGACGCACGTTGATGCCGACCCGGGCCCAGAGGATGAGCATCACCAGCAGCGGCGCCAGCACCAGGCCCGTGAACACGCTGGAGATGACGGCGGGAGGACGCGGCTCCGGCTCCCGGAACGTGTGCTGCGGGCGGTCACAGCGGTCTCAGGCTGCGGTACCACAACAATAACAGAGTACGTCACAATACCAGGTCACAACAATACCAGAGCAGTCGCTTCATCAGCAAAACATCCAACTACCGCTCGAAATCCTCTCCAAAATAGAGCCAGTCACCGCGACCTTGCCACTTCCTCATCTTTGTCTCACTGTCCGTAGGTACCTTTGATCACGGGTTTCGTCCCAATCGCCTCCCGTCACCAAAACTCTTCCTCCGCATTCCTTCATTGAGTTCGGGTTTTATCCATGCCCCGTCCTCTAACCACACATCCGTAACTTGGTCTGGGCTTTCATCCCACCCATCCCCTCCCTACCCCATACTTCGAAGTAAGGTTTCGTCCCGCCCTTCCACTCCCTATTCCGTACCTTGATCTCGGGTTTCGGGGCGTAGATGTCGACCGGGTCGGCCTTGTCTCCGTCCGGGAACTGCAGCACCACGTCGGCCAGCGTCCAGGCCAGCGCGTTATCCACCACCGGATCGCCGATCAGCAGCTGCACCGCGTACTTTCCGGCGCGCACGCCGGGCTTCTTGGCCTGGGCGTCCACCGACTGACGGCACACAGATAGGTGTCAGAGGGGACACGGAGGCACAGAGTTACAGAATTAGGGCTCACAGAGGGCGCCGCAAGGGGTCACGAGAGGGATGGGAGATGACACGCTCTTGGCCTGGCCTCCAGACCCATATTTTACACCGACTGGCGACTTATTACATGCATGAACGGCACGCTGCCCTGTCATCGGTATAAGCTGAACAACGCGATAAGCAAAAGAGAAGTGTTTGAAATTGTTCAACTTTGGCTAAAAAACCATGTTAAAAGCACTCCGTCCTTACAGCGTGCCATGACCGAGTCCGAGACCCGGTCCGTCTACAACAGCGGCGGCACCCTTCAGGCCGGCCCCGAGTCTCACCACGTCCAGTTTGTAGACGAGCGAGTTGTCCGGCTCGGCGACAAAGATAAGCTCGCGGCCCGTCTTCTGGTGCTCCAGGCGGACGAACGCCTGGTGGCAGCGCATCGGCTTCTTGGTCTGCTTGTCCAGGATGGTGAATTTGAGCACCAGTTTCTGGTGCACGTCCGCCTCGAGCACCGTGGCCAGCTTGCTGTGCTGCACCACCCTGCGCCAGACGGGTTGGGCAGCGTCAGATAGAGAGTAGATGGATGGATACTACACACTACATGGATAAATATAGAGATAAACATACTACAGAGGGAGAAAGCTCAAAAAGGAGTCTGAAAAAGAAAGGAAACAGTTCAGCTGGAAGCAAAATTCATAAGATAAACATTTTAGGTTGTCTACTCGTACATGCTTCACTGTCCGAGAAACGAGGTTCAAACCGATCCCCCCTAAATTGTGACCATTGTCCAGTACCGCACCAAACTCGCACCGCGATGGCGACAGAACGTGTGCGTGGGAAACCGCCTCTTTCGGGTAATCCGGTTCCGGCGCTCGTCTCAACTGCCGTAACCCAGTCTGACTCACGTGTTCATACGAGGCGCCGAGGTCTGATCGGAGTCGGTCACTCCCAGTTCCACGTTCTCCAGCGACATCTGAGTCAGCACTGAAATCGATAACGCGGTGCTGTCAGTTACAAGAGTGCGTTTCGAACGGCAAAACCGAGTCGTCACTGGGCATCAGTTGCAAAGATGATGAAAAGGTGATGGTGCGAACAAAAATAAGGATACTTTACCATGTCCTAAGGCAACATAAGCAATCGTGCTACGTCTGACCATGCCATGTGTATATCTTTTTTTTTTAAAGAAATTAAGTCCGAATGGATGAATGGGCGATTGTCAGAGTTTCACAGTAAGCAGTGCATGTAGCAAATGACATCACGGACCCACTACCCACCTTACCAGCGCCCGGTTCACCGGTGACAATTTAAACCGAAAGTTTAACGTATCGCGCATGCATGATGATGAGTTGGAGGTCTAAGGCAGGCGCCCAGACTACGGGTGATCATAGGCGCCCAAATCCCAAGTAGATGGCGACACGGTCCTCCCGGCAGTCTAAAGTCGCATATATGACCGAACCGAATAACTAGAATATGAACTCCGAACAAATTGTGTATATATATTCGACAGCATTAAAAAGTATAGCTCAAGGATCATAATGGTAGCCGCTAAAATGCTTGGTGAAATGTGTGACTGGACTGACATATCTCATGAGACACTGAAGCAGCGCCTATTAGACGATCTCATCTCCACCCTGCTCGGGGCCCCTCGACCAGACACTGTAGCGGCGCAGTGGGCGCGTCTCCCGTCCGCGAGCCGTACCTTTGACGCGTAGCTCGGCTCCCGTGTTGCCGATGAGCCGGGCGTCAGGCTTGCTCGGCTTGGCGGAGACCACCAGACGGTAGAAGCCTCGGCCGGGCGTCGAAGCCAGCATGTCCAGCTCAAACTGGGACCTGGAGGTGCGGAACATGGTTATGGAACGCCACAACCTATCATCTATCTATAGTTTGCTTGGAACGAATCCCTTGGCATCATATGGACAGTTCCTTATGATTTTCAAACAACTACCGATAAGCAGTAACTAAGCACTACCACACGACCACCAAGCCTCCGGCCTCCATCCACGACTCACTTGTCCGACTTTGACGGCGTGAAGGGGCTCTTGCTGACGACGACGGCGTCGTCCTCCTGTCGGGTGGCCGATTCTGCCAGCAGCGTGATGTCGTGCGGCAGTGGCCGGCCCAGCAGATCTGTGACCTGCACAGTCAGCTTGGGCTTGGCCGAGCTCAGGGCGGCCGATGAGGCGAGCGACACCACCGCCGGCAGGTGGAACTGACGACGGCGGGGAGAGACGGTCAGGGCGGGGTGGGCCGGTCAGAGCCCACGCGTCAGGACGGGATAGGTCGGTCAGAGCGGGGTAGGCCGGTCGGGGCGGGGTAAGACGGTCGCGTGTCAGGGTGGAGTAGGCCAGTCAGGGCTACTGACGAAAACCAATCAGGGCTAAAACTGACGCTAAATAACGCTAAATAAAGCCCAGTGGGACAGATTAAGACACCACCGATGACCGTGGCGACGAAGAGTGGCAGCGTTACGGTAAATCCGTGCACGCTTGTCTCACAAATCCTTGGGTTATTGTAACTGTGCTGCCAGCCTGCAGTCTCACCTTGTTGGTACAGAACATGGTGAGCCCGTTGACCAGGTGGTAGGCGCCCTTCACCGACTGGATCGCCTTGCGATTGACCAGGTAGTTGGCGAACTTGACCGCCTGCTCGTCGGTGATGGCCGGCCGTTTGTTGGCCTTCTCCGCCAGCCGGTACGCGCCCGTCACCACCGTGGCTGAACGGGACAGCGGCGGCGGGTAGGGTGGTCAGCCACAAATACACCATAGAAAGAACATGACTCACAGGAGTAACGCTTGGATTCGGAATAGTGACGCTACTGCAGAACTTAACGAGTTGTACAGGGTCATCAACGATTTCTTTCACTTTTCACAATGCCCACAAACTGAGGCCTGATGCCTCAATATCGGCAGTACGGTATCCTGACGACAAAGTCCCCGCCATCATTCTGCCTGTGCCCCAGGAGTTCAGCCGGTCAGCGGCGGCCACTCACAGGTGATGCCGACGCCGCCCTCGTACTGCAGGTACTTGTGATCCACCTCGTCGGCCTGTACGACGGCGTCCTCGACCCGGTCCAGGAACGGCGTCAGGTCGCCGTCCAGCTCGGCGGCCAGGTGGAACGCGTAGCCCAGGCTGTCGGAGGGAGGGGGGTGATACAATGAGTATACAGCAGTGATAGTCCAAGCGGTCGGAGGACGGCGAGTGATACAGAGAATATGCAACATTGATAGCCCAGGCTGTCGGAGGGAGGCAGGTGATACAGTGAATATATAGTGCAGATAGTCCAAGCTACCAGAGGAGGCACGGAACGCACAGAGCAAGGGACAGCCGGGATAGCCCGGGCCATCATGGGGAGGCGAACGACGAGTGACGGACACTCTCCCCTCAGCTTCTGGGTGTAACCTACTTGAGGACGCTGTCATCCTTCTTGAGCGCGGCCTGCAGTGCCTGGGAGATGGTCTTGCTGTTGATGGTGTTACCGAGGGCGAGCAGAGCGCCTGTAGAATGGTACAGCTCAGACACCGTGGCCTTGTCTGACGCGCTCTTTTGCAGATTCTGTGGGGCCAGTCATCACAGGCATCAGCAATCAGTATTCCATTTTTCAGAGTTTTTGGTGACAAATCACACCTAACGGGGAAAATATTTTCATCCCTAAAATATGAATGACCGACTTCACTTCATCTCTGAAAAAAGTTTCATGTATTCTCATCAGCCAGTTTACATGTCACTTGACAGTTGATGCACCTACATCCTTGTTTCACACCCTGTCAAGATCCTGACATGCAATCCTGGTTTATCAGTTGGCATAAAAATTGGTATTTACACCATTTTGCAAAAATACTTCAGTTTTTTACTTCCTTTTTTCTCATCCTAAGATTTTTTTCTTCACCGGCACACCCAACCAATATCCAATTTTAGAACACTGTCAGCAATAAAGTCAAAGTTCCACAGTTAAACTTTGATAATATTACATTATGTCTGATTATACAGAAATAAAATAAATTGGCACTCTACAGTTCATACAAATGGCACACACTCCACTCTATGAAATGTTGTACATCCATTATCAGGCCAGTCACTCTGAAGATGCTGCACTTTTCAGGTATTGTGACTAAAGGGTTTGATCACTGGAGTCAGCAATGGTGACAGAAAAGTCATACACCATAGTTTGCTGCAGGAAAATCCGACACTTATGTGAAATCATATGCTTTACAGATACCTGCTTTATAAGGATAGTCTGAGTCCTGAGATGCATGCCACATTATTTCAATACATGACGGATGCTGGCTAGTGACCAGCACCATCTCAAGGAGAGAGAACAAGTCGCACAGTTTGCGACCGTTTCCTGTATTCTACAAGCTCTCCTACCACAGCAACCTACAGTCACCTGTGTCGTGGGCCTGCTTGTAGGGATTGGCCTTGATCACTATTGACACCCAGTAAAAAAATAGCTCAGGGATTGCAGTCAGGTGAGGCGGATAGCCACCGCGTGCCTGAAAGTCCGGCGACCAGTTGTGAGGAGCGCTGTTCACCACCCGGCGCGGTGTCGTCTCGTCATAAATTGTGCGCGGTTGTGGAATGCTGCAGAGACGCAAGAGCGACCATCGATGATTTCATCTAATCAGGAGCCTAATTATTTCCATCAACACTTCCTGACAGGTCCAGCAGCGCCTAAAGAGGAAGGAAAGTTCCAGTCTCCATAATTGTTGACGGCGTCCGTGACGGCCGCGACGATATTGGTGCTAATCTCCCCGTGGCCTAGTGGATAAGGCATCCATCTCATAAATTGACGGCAGCGAGTTGGCGGCCGGAGACGGGAGAGATCCACGTCGTTTGACCCGTGTTCGTATATCAAGCCAGCTGGCAGCTGGCGGGAGGGCCACGCTATACCCAGAAGGACCTACCCGTGTCGACATCTACCCGCGGTAGGTACGTTAAACTTTCGATTCAAATTACCACCGTTGAACTGGGCGCTGTATTATCGCCGGTGAACCGGGCGCAGCGATCTGGTCGGGTGGTGGGTCCATGAAGTAATTCTCAACAAGCACTGATTGGCGGGGCTCACGGATCCACAGCCACCCATTCAACCATTTGGGCAAAATTTCAACAACAAAATAGTATGTTCCGATGGCCAAAGGTGGAATGGTGTGGAATTAGTGATTGGTGTTGAATTTATGTTTGCTCTTGTCCTCTTATGCCCTCTGCAAGAATTGCCTCATTTTTCTTTGGAAATAAAAATGACTTGGCTCAGCACTCTTTCTGATGCAAGGAAAAACTATCATATTCAAATGAGACCATATGGGATATCATATGAGATCAGTTTTTCATTCAATTACAACCTGAATGTAATATATAAAAATATGTGGTTTATGTGCTTATAAGTAGACTATATCAGGGGCGGATCCAGAAAATCTCCAAGGGAGGGGCCATTAGAAACCAGGAGGCCCCCCCCCCCCATAATCCCACCTGTTGGAGGCCCCATCTTCCCACTTGTTGGCCCCCCCAAAAAAACTGCATTTATTGAGCTTATCTAGCTGTTCAGGCAACATCTCAACATCTGTGCAGGCTTGGAGGCCCTCTGTGCAGGTTAGGAGGCCCTGTAAAAGTGGTCATCTCTGTGAGTATAAGAGACCTCCAAGTTATGAAAAGCTTTACCAATCTTCTAACAAAGAAGTCTTCTCAGCTAGTCTTCTAAGAAACAACTAAGTGGGTAGATTAAAAAAAAAACTCATCGGATTTCGGCCACTTTATTTTCAGGAGGCCCCCTTTTCAGCTTTTTAACTTTTTAACTTTTTATTTTATTTTTGAAAAAATCGGCCATGGCCCCCCCTTGTATCCGCGCCTGGACTATATGCACCATGTGTGGGAGAAATGTGTGAAAAGTGGTGCACATGTTCTCTTCATAAATGCAGTTGCATTCAAACAAAGGGAGATTAACTAATAGTCTGGTCTCACTTTCCCGTAACACATCATATTACCTACTTTTCAGTCACACCAGGCCTGACTGTATTAAATGAATGACCCTTACCTGAACAACATCAGCTGGCATTGTGAGTTTGCAGCCGGGCAGGGCAGCTGCAGCCTTGGCCACATAGTAGAGATCAGTCGGCTCCTGGGTTACCTGGCTCTTGAGGTATTTACAAACATCCTGCCAAAACAGGAAACACATTCAGTTGCATGGGAGAAAGGCAGGAAGCAACTGAAAAGTTTGCTAAATCAGCTTAAATTATTTTCAACAAGCCCCATTGTGATGTCCATTTCCTGTTATATATCATCAAAACAACCAACAAGCTCACTCAAGCAAAGGTCATCAGACAGTTTTCATTAAGATGTGAAGGACAGTTTTGCTAATGCTTTAAGTTTAAAGCAACATTTTATCTCTGAGAGTTATAAGAATATAGATAGAGACTGCAACATTGAGATTAAGTCTAGACTATGATACACACCTGAGCATTTGATGCCACCTTCCCTATCACTTTTACACCTAGTGCAGCATAGTGGACAGACTGCAGGTCCTTCTTTGCAGTGAGGTGGCCCTGAAACAGCTCTTCTAGCCTTTTGAAGTCATCACTATTAAGGAAGGTGTTTGGTGTCAGGCCCAGGCTGCATACTACCAAACCCAACACCAGACAGAGCTGGATACCTGTAACAAAAAAGTGGAGTCAATAGAATAAAATAGATATATACTGACCAGCAACATAGTACAGTGCATTGAAATGTGTGGTTCAAAGCAAAACAGCAAACCTAAGCAATAAGAAACATGAGCAAGGAAACAAATTTTCTGCAGACTCGATATGCACCGAATATCCTGGGCATTGGCACCATGCCTACCACACCAAACACCAAGTTTGGAAAACTCACAAACTCCCTCACATACGGAGTAGCAGTTAATGAAAAGAGAAGATTAAGATTGGTGATTCGGCAACCCCGTTATGCGTCATTTTGATGTGTCCAAGCTCTCTTGCCCATTTAGGTCTGCCAATGCCCAAAGACTTCAATGCAGCATGACAACATAGTGGTCATCATAGTGAATATCTGATACCTACAAGCAGAAATATGCATTACCGCATGCCTTAATCCCCACACAATCATTGACACATCAACATCCAACAGTACCTATCTTATCAGAGGGCTGTTCACTGGCCCTGTGTGCGGTCCAAACTCCGCCCACTGAGTCCCTACGTCAGCCTTCCGTCACCGCACACAGCGACCACTGCCGGTCGGGACCCGCCACAGAAAACCATCCACCGCACACAGCTGTGACGTCAGAACTGCCTACCCATCCCCTACCCCCACGCCTGCTGGACCCACCGCACACACCGCACGCAGCATTGTGCGGTGCCCGTGAACAGCCCTCAGATGAAAGCACTGAATAGGTAGGTACTGATATTTCACAGCCTCAGTCTAATTGGAATGATCCTTAACAAATAAGCAGGTATGCTTTGGATCCGAATCAGCATTTGACAGAGTAGAAGAAAGATCTAACAGCATATTTATTTGTTCACTGCTTTGATTGCATGGGCTCATGCTACGATTTTCATCGACCCATCGTCATACCACGCGGATCCATAGCACACCGCAACTTCTTATGTAAGCACATGACTGATAGAGCTACGGAACACATACCGTTCATTGTGAAGGAGAGCAGTGTACGTTCTGATTGAAGAAATACAAAATTAAAAATAATAATTTCCACCCCTTCCCCACATGCAAAACAGCGAGCCGGCCGGTTGTTAGATAGTGATGCAGAAATTCAACCGGATTCGGAGTGTGATTGGAGTCGTTTAGTCATGAACATTGCAATTTTCGTCTAATTTCAGCTTCAAATTAAGTTTCTGGGCTTTCTTTTCGGTTAAAAGTATTCATAGTACATTTCAGGCACCATTTTTGTGCTATTTTCTCCCGAATTTTAGAAAAACCCGGTCCAAAAATGACACGTCTTTCATTTACACGTGTGTTTTAGATAGAAACACCACTAAAAAACCTTTGCTCTTTCTGACGCGTTTGCTACAGTTATGGGACCGGTAAAAGTCGGCTACTAAATAAAAACCGTCGAGCTGATTGCGTTGTGAGATGGTTGACATGTCCCAGAAGAGCATCATCCAGGTCAGAGAGTTAAATTAATGGTTCATAGATGATCAATGCCAAATGCATCATGTGCTTTTACTCCATGCAGCCTATCTGCAACTTACAAGGAGAACCATTCAGCTGAAACTTCTCCGAAACCACACCTTGCGCGTGTGGTGTGTGCCGGACCATCCTCAGACCCTACTCTCCTGGTTCAATGCTTTTCTTACGAAAAAAATTGTGGTTAAGGTAACATACAGTGATACGGTGATTTGTGATTACATTCATTTTCTAATGTTTGTTAACAATTAAATAAAAGTACTCAAAAGCTGAAATGACGAAAACGACTTCAGGCCTTCAAGTACGAGTAGCCCATCCGTCATAGGACCGGCGCGGCGCACCGCTTAGTGTCGTGTCCACATATGGTATCAAACATACCTTTTTAAGCCTCTAGTGAGTCAATACACGACCAATTTGTATTATTGAAATGCCATGTATTCTTCTAAGACTTCTATAGAATGTGAAACGCCGGTCAACCGTTACGAGCTATCCGGAACACCTCAGATGAACGCTCTCCAATCGACGTCAAAAACATCGTAATCCATGTAAACGCGCAGTATTCTTGAGAAACATGTTAAATTGTGAAACGAGAAATCAGAAATCACAATCCCAATGATATGAGATTAAAAGCATCTCATGCTAGCCACAGAGCAGTCATTAACGAAGATATATACATGCAAGATACCGCGCAACGTTTCGATGTTGGATGAGACTGCATCGCTCTGAGGGTCAATAATTTGCAAACCCACGCACGTCCACCACTCCACCAGTTTCGTCAGTACTTAGGTGAAAAGTCAGCGCGGCTACAGGAGTTACCACCACATGCACAAACCCCAAGGGACTGACCGCTGCGGCTCCCTAGGACACCAACCTTGAAAAATAGAAAACACACCAACACGATTTTTGCAGTCGCCTGCAAACGCAAAACTTGACCAACACTGCCGGCGCCGCCGCTTGGCGCCGCGCCACTAATTCTACGCGCTCAATGCTGGAGAGACGGGCCGGCCGCGCCGGGCCGGCTGTCCACGCAGGTACGCTGGAGGTCTCTCTGGTGTCGGGCGTCCGCGCCGCCCTCTGCTGACCGCGGCCGTCCGTGGCGGCCCCAGCTGCCTCGCGCCAGCCGCTCGCCGACGCCAGGGCCACCTCAGATCAGCGAGCAAATGCGCACACTCACACACTATCACACGCACAATGTCAATTGTCAGCCAACGGACGCATTCATGCGTCATCGTAAACAACTATCCACCACACCACACCATACGCAAAGTAAGACGAGGAGGTCGAGCAAATTCCTACGTAAAAAACAAAACTTACTCCACGAGCGTTAACAAGCGGCTCGTTGCCGGGCAACGAGCAGCGCGTCGCTACGGGCGCACGCGCTGAGCACAGGTACCTCTACACAACACGGACCGAGCCGGGCCGGTCGGGACAGCCCGAACCACCGGCTCTGGCAGCAGAAGACGTTCAGACGCAATCACTGTACAGGGGAGAGCGGCCGGTCGGCCGGGAGGGCCTCTCCGGGCGCCGGCAGGTGGGCGGAGGGCGGCTCCGCCGGCCGGGACGCTACCGACGGGCACCGCACCACTCCGCCCAGTTCCGCACCACCAGCTGCAGCAGCCACGCTCCTCCACCTCAATGCACCGTCACTCTGATCGTATCGCGCTCCGTCACTCCCGGCAGAGGGCCGACACGGGGTCGGTCGCCGCCACTCTGCCCGCTCACGCCTCGGGCAGCACGTAGCCGTGACTGTCAAGCATGCGCGACAGGTAGGCCTCGATCGAGTGGTCGCATCCGAGCAGGTCCAGGAAGAGGATCTTCTCGCGGCACTTGAGGCCGATGGAGCGCAGCGCCGGCAGCCGCAGCAGCAGCTTGGCGAAGCGGCCCGGCTCGCGCGGGTACTCCTGGCGCACGTAGTCCTCGAGCGTGGCGTACACGTGCTCCCGCAGCCGCTCCACCAGGTCCACCGCCTTCAGGTCCTTGGCGTCTGGCGGACAGAGCGAGCGAGGTCAGTCAGCGACGGATGGACTAAGGACGGCCAACGAGTGAGGTTCCAGTTCCACACACATGAATGAGCGTGAAAATGATGCAACCGTACCTAGGGGCAAAAGGTCGTCCCAATCTGATACGACCCGCACGTCGCTTAGTGTCGTGTCCCCGTCACTCAAAGGACGATAGCTACCACCCCAATGGGGGCAACTCAACACGTATATTGACCGGGAGGAAAAAGAAAACCGCCACATGCATATTGCATACATGTACTGAACTGATAATACAAGTAAAGCAAAGGTGCGGAGTCCTTCCCTTCACGGATTCTCATCAACCTAATACAATCCGCTGTCCGCCGTCCACCCACCTGGGTTGAAGAGTACGATGGTGCGCAGACAGCCCAGCTCGACCAGGTCCATTTTCATGTCGCGCATCTTGGTCACCAGCTCGACGAGCACGCGCTCGAAGATGGGGTCCATGCCGACCGAGCTGGCCAGCTCGATGCCCACGCTGAGGTCGTTGCCGAGTCGGATTCTGTCCGGGTACTGCACAGAGCGGTACGACAGGCTGGCGATGATGAGCTCGTTCCATCCGGCGCGCAGCAGCGCCACCTGGTCGAGCCGGTTCAGCTCGACAAAGTGCGGGATGCGCCGCGCCCACTCGAATAGCTGGTGTAGCTGGTGTTCCATGGCGGCGCGCACCTGGTCATTCAGCTCCTGGGGAAGACAGCAGGGGAGCACCTGGTCAGTTAGCTGCTGGTGTGACCTTACAGTGCACGTGGTCAGTCCAATACTGAGGGAGACGGCACAGTGCACCTGGTCATTCAGCTCCTGTGGGTGGGAGACAGCAGGGGAGCATGTGGTCAGAAAACGGCTGGTGTGACCAGTCCTTACAGTGCACGTGGTCAGTCCACAAATGAGGGAGACGGCACTTTGTCATTCAGCGGCACCTGGTCATTCAGCTGCAGCTGTGGGCGACAGCAAAGAGTACATAGTTATGAAGCCTCTCAGGCAGACAGCGATCCTGGTCATTTAGCTCCTTAGGACGACAGTTCAATGGCCACTTAGTCATTGTCCACTTGGTCATTCGCTTCCCGCCGGAGACGGCAGAGTAAACACTTTTGTTCAGCTCCCAATGGTGACAGCGCAGTGCAATAAACGTTGCAGCTCCAGAAGGCTACGGCAAGCTGCACTTTGGATAATCAGCTAAAGGCTACAACGCACTATGTTTCGTCTAAGGCTCCCGAGACTGCAGAAGACGAGCATAGTGCTATCTATCACCTTAGTCCTCAAGCAACTATACGGAGGTAATTGCCAATGCTGCAAGGAGGAAGCATTAGTTATTCATGCCGTTAAAGTTTATCAAACAATGAAAAAGCTTAACAACAGCGCAATCGGCATCCCGGAAGGCAACTCTATCAACATGGCATATGAAGCAACATAAGGCAACGGTTCGAGGGAGTTTGACAAATGTTCTGTGATGCGCTCAATGATATACGAAACGCAAAACAAAAATCCATGTTCAGCTGAAGTCAGATAAGAAGCGGCATGAGTGCAGAAACATTATAGTCATGGACGCATACCGCCCTGTTCATGCCCCTTTGCGTGTCACAGCCTTCTTCACGTGCGTATGCGTGTCAGGATGCCCACAAACCCACGCCCCTGCCCACGCCATTGTGGAAATACACTCTGCACAGAGAGTTCAGCTCAGCCGTCGCCACCATCTCTCGTCATGGCCCGCCGCTCACCCCAGCGGAAAAGAGAGCCAAATCGGGCTCATCGTGCTATCATTTCCTGTTCCCGCACCTACATATTTTTGGCCACAAAGCAATACCATTGTGACAGCTCCATACAGCAGGCCTACACAATGGACATCCCAATAGCATTATTTATTAACACGCGCAGTGGAAGGGTTGCGAGTACTACGCCCAGTGGAAGGGGGGGGGGCGGATGTCGCCCCCCCCCCCCTAAGATCTCAGCTCCCACTGGAGCTAGAACGACGAAATTTGGAGGGTAGGTGGGGGCCATGGGGAACTCTATTGTGTGTGAATTTCGTGACCCTAGGTCAATATCTTCAAGGTCAAATGAGGTCAAATGTGGTCAAATCTGCCATATTAGCGACTTTTTTGCGTTTACACGCCGATAACTCAAAAAGTTACCGGCCGATTTTTTTAAAACTTTCACTATACAAAAGAGCAAACATTTGTGAGTATGTATGGTGAATTTCTAGACAATCCAACAATAAATATGGCAGTTAGAAGCCTGCTAAGGGTAAGATGTCGCCGGTTGAAGCGGCATCGGCCGACGCGGGAAACGCGGCAATCACAATTTTGTGTTTACACACTCATAACTCAAGTTGTTACCGGCCGATTTTCAAAATTCTTTGACCATATGATTGCCTGTACAATTCTCAGTCTTCTCACCGAATTTGACGCGAATCAAAAATAATCAGCGGTAAGGAGCGCGATGTAAAGACGGAACCGTCCCGCCCCGGCACAGTCTACAATTCAGGCGGCGCGTAACGGCTAGCGCCGGCCGCCGCGCCGCCGCGCCGCGGCGGTGGCACGATGTTTGACTTTACACCGCTATTACTAGAAAAGTTGTGAACCGATTTTCTTACTTCTTGCACGAGAAGATCCGCTATTCAATTCTGGACAGGTAGCCGAAATTTCACATTGATATTGTACTTGCGGCGCGAGTTATTGGCGAAAAACAGGAGGAGTGGGCGAAATCCGCCCCCCCTTCCACTGCGCGTGTTAACATAAGGACTCTAATTTTCCTATCACAAATTATAAAACAGATCATGTGCTTAAAACACCATGAGCAATGACAGATGTTCAGTTAATTTAGATATATCATAGCAGCTTGTTTCTTGCTACGTAACAAAGACAAGCTATAATCGCACAATCTTAACTAGCATACGTCATTACCGTTAACGTGAAGGTGGTTGACACTCAGAAAAAAAGTAAAATAAAATAAATCCCAGAATGACGGCGGTGTCACGAAAAAATGTTTTGCAGGAATGCAGAACGGATAGGTAAATGAGGCAGCTGAAGATATCACATGACCATGAGGCCCGGCTAGGATGCAGATGGCGTCCCGGATGCGGCCACAGAAAACTTGACGGTACCCTGAGTGGAATGCAAGCTCGATCTAGCCCAGTTCAATTACGTCCACTTTCATTTAAATCACGTAGTATGATGGCTTCAAATCGTTCATATTACTATGGTGGCAAGTGACAGATCGTTCGGCGTAAAACATTCCGCACTCAGCTTTATGAACTACGCAGATCGCAACAACCCACTTTTATACACTAATTAGCAGGTAAGGCCTTCTAGATCCCATAAGTGGTTTGAATCCATGACCGGTTTCCACCGGCGGTATATTGAGCAAGAGCCAATCCTTAGCCAATCCTTTACGTAAATCGATGCCATTTAGCAAGACAATTATCTACCATCCATCGTGTCTCATCACATGGTTCCGTCACGCGCCGCCCATGATTCATCCCACTGAACCCTCCGTCCCCGTCCCATCTCTCACCGTGTGTCCGAACGTGGTCTCCTTGTCACGCGCCTCGACAGCCGCCTCGGCCTCTCGGATCCTCTCCACGGGCATATCTGAGGGCTGGCCAGAGGTGGACTCGACCTGGTCCTCGCCGCCGCGGCCCAGCGAGCGCTGCCGCTCCTCCTGTGAGGTAAAATGGAAAGTGGGAGGTAGTGGTCCAGCGAGCGTTATCACGAGCGCTGTCGCTTTTTCTGTCAGAGGGGAGGGAGGGTCAGCAACCCCGAGGGCGTTATCACTCCTAAAAGAATAGGGAGTCAAAACCCAGCGAGCGCTGTCGCTCGCTCGCTCTCTCTCTCTCTCTCTCTCTCTCTCTCTCTCTCTCTCTCTCTCTCTCTCTCTCGCTCTCTCTCTCGCTCTCTCTCTCGCTCTCTCTCTCGCTCTCTCTCTCTCTCGCTCTCTCTCTCTCTCGCTCTCTCTCTCTCGCTCTCTCTCTCTCTCGCTCTCTCTCTCTCTCGCTCTCTCTCTCTCGCTCTCTCTCTCTCGCTCTCTCTCTCTCGCTCTCTCTCTCTCGCTCTCTCTCTCTCGCTCTCTCTCTCTCTCGCTCTCTCTCTCTCGCTCTCTCTCTCTCGCTCTCTCTCTCTCGCTCTCTCTCTCTCGCTCTCTCTCTCTCGCTCTCTCTCTCTCGCTCTCTCTCTCTCGCTCTCTCTCTCTCTCGCTCTCTCTCTCTCGCTCTCTCTCTCTCGCTCTCTCTCTCTCGCTCTCTCTCTCTCGCTCTCTCTCTCTCGCTCTCTCTCTCTCGCTCTCTCTCTCTCGCTCTCTCTCTCTCGCTCTCTCTCTCGCTCTCTCTCTCTCGCTCTCTCTCTCTCGCTCTCTCTCTCTCGCTCTCTCTCTCTCGCTCTCTCTCTCTCGCTCTCTCTCTCTCGCTCTCTCTCTCTCGCTCTCTCTCTCTCGCTCTCTCTCTCTCGCTCTCTCTCTCTCGCTCTCTCTCTCTCGCTCTCTCTCTCTCTCGCTCTCTCTCTCTCGCTCTCTCTCTCTCGCTCTCTCTCTCGCTCTCTCTCTCTCGCTCTCTCTCTCTCGCTCTCTCTCTCGCTCTCTCTCGCTCTCTCTCGCTCGCTCTCGCTCTCGCTCTCGCTCTCGCTCTCGCTCTCGCTCTCGCTCTCGCTCTCGCTCTCGCTCTCGCTCTCGCTCTCGCTCTCGCTCTCGCTCTCGCTCTCGCTCTCGCTCTCGCTCTCGCTCTCGCTCTCGCTCTCGCTCTCGCTCTCGCTCTCGCTCTCGCTCTCGCTCTCGCTCTCGCTCTCGCTCTCGCTCTCGCTCTCGCTCTCTCTCTCTCTCTCTCTCTCTCTCTCTCTCTCTCTCTCTCTCTCTCTCTCTCTCTCTCTCTCTCTCTCTCTCTCTCTCTCTCTCTCTCTCTCTCTCTGTCAGAGATCCAACCTGGTAGGTGCAGAACCCCAAGCCCTGGCTGGTGTGCGACTTCTCCCAGTCCCACCCCTCCCAAACAGTGCAGAAAATTGTCAGTCTGGTGCGTAAAAATAAAATTGATGATATTGAGCTAGCTATCGTGTTCGATCAACTCATAGTTGTAGCATTGATTCTATAAAATAAATCAGCAAAACATGGACACACTATTCAACATCAAATGCTAATTTGATTATGCCAATGATGATTGGAGTTTTAGGCTGGCCGTTACCTTGTATGGACTACAAAGGTCATCGGCGACCAGGACGCTGTCAATTTTCTGTTTTACTACAACTGTCTTATGTCCTATGCATTCAGACTAGAATCAATGACAAGAAGAAGTCGGAGCTACGCCATCCAGTCACGTTTCCATCACATTGGGATCACCACAGTTCGGACAGCCGTGCCACCCACACCCGCCGCGGTGGGAAGCCGCGGCGACCGGTGATGATCACATTTCAAACCGGGTGAGCGGCTTTAGAAGACTAATCAGTAATCACGCGGGAAATACATTAGCGAGGTCGACCGGGGTGACTGGGATCGTGTGACGACGCGGACAACCGCAACGGATCTCCTGCACCACCGAAGAAATATGCTATATTTTAAGCCATGACCTTTACTAAAACCGGTATAGCCTAGCCCGCAAAGAATACATATTTATATGAAGAATAAGACTTGGTGAAATCATTCACAATAACGAGCTATACACCACAGGAATGTAGATGGGGGCAAACAACGTTTCGACAAAACAAAAAAGTGAAAAGGAAGATGAGCAAGACACTAAGTTAGAACTATTAAGTTCAAACCCAACTGAGCTCACAGACCACAGTTTTCTCACCTGAACGGCTTCCCTTTTCATGCCCATCTTGAGGCATTTCTGATAGCGGCAGTACTGGCATCGGTTACGTTGGCGTTTGTCAATCAGGCAGTTCTTGTCTTCACGACATGCATAGCTAAGGTCCTTTCTGACTGTCCTCTTGAAGAAGCCCTTGCATCCCTCACAGCTGGAAAACACGTGATCAACGGTCAAATAAATGCTAAGAATGGCAACAACGAACATTCATTAAATGATTCAGCTACCCGGTGCAAACATGTAGCACCATAAAAAGATCAACTTAAGAACTTTAAAATCTTAGCGTTACTTTCAAGTGCCCGCGTGGTGCCTATCTAACCTAATTGCAAACGCAATAGACACCGCATTGTGGCACGCGCCTATTATAGACGCCTGTGTCTACCTACCAGCACTTGTAGAAACAGGAGGCGCAGCCAGTGTTCACTAACCTGTAGACGCCGTAGTGTCTACCTAGCAACAGTGTAGTCGTAATACACAGTATTGTGTCACGTACCTGTAGACGCCGTAGTGTTTGCCGCTGGCCCGGTCTCCGCAGATGGCACAGAGGTGTTTGGAGTTGGAGAGCGGGTGGTTGGGCGGCAGCTGCGACGACAGCCGCTGGTTGTTGAGGAAGCCCGGCGGCACCACCGGGTACGACGGCGTGGCCATGCTGCCGACACAGACACAGCCGCGTCAGTTCACAGCGCGGCCGGCACATCGGAGCGGCCGCCGACACACGGGGACGGCTGCACTGGGGCCGGCGAGCTCCGGCGGCCGCGGTCGGCGGCACTCTGATCGGTCACAGCGGCGACACGGCACGGCACGGCACGGCACGGCACGGCACGGCACGGCACGGAGCGGGACTCACGTGGTCTCCGATCGGGCACACTGGGCCGGTCGGGCCGACCACAGCACGGGTCACACGGGGTGTGGGCGACAGCCGACGGCCGGCGTAGCTCACCGTCGTCGAAACCGACTGACGCGCCACCCGCCGAGCGACACACAGGATGCTACCGACGCGGCCGCAGCAGCGGCGCCGGCATACATATGCATGCGCCATGCACCATCTGTTTCAATGTTTACAGGCACCAGTCGGCGCGGCGGGCCGATATCTGGCACGTCCCGGGCGGTGGGCCCCAGTCACGGCGGCTGCCGCTATCGGAGCGCGGCGCGCGGCTAATAGGGTGGCGAGGGACCGACTGTCAGCACTGCTCTCACGGTAGCCGGCCCGGCTCTGCACCGCCGACTGTTCATTATCCCGCCGCTGCATGGACAGCCGCGTACCGCCCATCCCGCCGAACTGCGCCAGCCCAGCCAGACGGCTGACTTGACCGGCCTGGTCATGGCCGCCGCCCGCACCGGTCATGACCGCCACCCACGCCCACCGAGGTCTATGTTTCAGGGTGTCTCATCAGCTTCCTGTCGCTGACGGCACGCCAGACAGACTCGGGAGACTCCTGGCTATGTGCTGTGGGGCGACGCTCACACGACAGCCCACCGAGCAAGACCGCAAACAAGGGCCTCCCGGATCCCGAGCCATCGGACAGATGGCTTGGTCCTCAGGATGTAAATATTGATTAAATTTCAAATTCTTTGATATATTTTGGCAGCACGGTTTACGTGCATGGCACCAAATATCAATAAAAAGCAGGGCAAAATTCCTCAATAAACCCTTAAGACACTTTCGGCCCTCGTCAGTAGAATCTAAAACGGACAGGAGGCACTATGACACTCCGCTAGTCCAGAGTCTGAGCCCCAAACGGGGCCCGGTGAGGTGAATCACACCACTTCTGACCTAACAGTGAACTCAGAACAGAGCCACTGACCTGGAGGGGGTCAGTGGCTCTCGCCTGACACTGACCTGGGAGCAGATCCATTGACCAGAAAAGGGGGTCATTTCTAACCTGACAATGACCTGGATGGGGACCACTTCTGACCTGACACTGACCTGAGGGCAGATCCACTGACCTGGAGGGGGACCCCTTCTGACCTGACACTGACCTAGGAGCAGATCAACTGACCTGGAGGGGGCCTGACACTGACCTGAGGGCAGATCCACTGACCTGGACTCTGGAGGGGGCCTGAGACTGACCTCAGGACAGAGCCTCTGGCCTCAGAGCAGATCCACTGACCTGGAGGGGGAGTGCGGCGCGTTCTGCATCGGCGAGAAACTGGACGATGAGATGAGGGCGTTTGTGTCTGGCTTGATATCCAGCGGGGACTGCGGCCCCATGGAGCAGATCGGCAGGTCCATCGTTACTGCAACAGACAGAGCGCTCGGTCAGACACACTGACACACTCTGATACAGGCCAGAACATCGCGTACATACCACGAACAACGACATTCAGAAAAGACAGCGTTACACAGAGCAGGGAAATGGGGCGGCTGAAAACGATACAGCACAAACCGACAGCGATGCAACGCGGTCGTCCATCTCGACGGTCACGTAGTCTGATCTTGACAGCCTGGCAACCCTGCTTAGTGATCACCGACTTAAAACACATAGTAGCTATTCCAAGGTCACGATCAAAGCTTTTGTTTGCTGGGAATGATTGAAATAAAAATGAGCCTGGCAACAGTTTTGCGATCGAGGTCCGGAGCTCCAATCGAGATCTTCCTGCAGTGCTCTAAAGCACTGCGTAAAAAAGCACGCAAATCCCGCATGTCACCCGTCTAACACGGTTCGGTCCTGACATGGTGACCACTGTAAGTCGGGGCTCGGCTTTATCTTATCGGATACCGCCGAGTGTTTGCAGCGGGCGACTAAGTGTGTTTTGATGGTCTGAGGCCGGTTCGAGCAGCGTCGAACGGTCAGTGCTGTACTGAACAGCGATTCCTGTGGACCGCTCCCCTGTATGTCAGTTGTGCTCGCTCGGTTTCGTGTGAGTTGCCACATTCCACAACCATGCGAGTATCTACTGGCGCAGCCTGTCCTGCCTAATGGTTTGCTATCCATAAGGCATGTGCCCGGTGCCTTGTCACACTCTGTCAAAAAAAAAAAAAAAAAAATCCTCAGTCGTGTCCCACACTGTAAAAATGTCCCGTTTAAAGGGACACTCCCACCTTAACATTAGTTTTGAGTTGAGATAGCCAAATTGGTGGTCATGGCCCGCAAATACCGGTTTGGGCACTCACAACATCGACAAATGCTTTAATTCGGAGATATGGAATTTCAAACTTGCAGTTTTCGGATTCTAAGGGGCTAGTGCATTGGTATGCCCCCTTAGAATTTGTGACGTCAGCGGAGATCTAACGATTTTTAAATATTTTACTAAAACGTTTGGTAGCACGCGGTGGTATATGCTGCTTTGCGCGCAACAAATGCCGCACTTTCAAATAAAGTCGCTAGGAACAGCGGAGATCCCAAAAAGTAAACAAAAGTAAAAGTCTAATATCTTGAAAACCGGTGAATATTTTTCGATGAAATTTGGTAGATATTCGTGTTCGCTCTTTCTGAACCGAGCGACATCACTTTCGTGCCAATTCATTAACTTTTTTGAAGGTGGGAGGGTCCCTTTAACGAGCGGAAACTGGAAATGGGCTCTGCACAGCCCGCCAGCAGGGACGCCGGACGGTCCTGACAGTGACGTACCCAAGGGGGGGGGGCCACGGGGGCCAAGGCCCCCCCCCCCCCTGAGCGCCGAAGGCGCTCAGGGGCCCCTCAGGCCCCAGGATATTTTTTTAAACACTGGATAAAACGTCTTTTACTCGGAAGAAAAATTGATATTAAAGTTTCATTTATGTGCCCTGGGTACCCGAGGGGCCCCTGCAATCATCCAAGGGCACCCAGTTTCCTGGGCCCCTGGTCGCCTAGGGGCCTCTGGTAACCTGGTCTCATGGGGGCCCCTGATAGCCTGTGGCCCCTAGTCGCCTAGGGGGCCCTGGTCGCATGGGGGGCCTCTGGTCGCATGAGGCCCCTGATCGACTGGGGGCCCCTAGTTGACTAGGGGGCCCTGATAGCCCGGGGCCTGGTCGTATGGGCCCCTGATAGTCTGTGGCCCCTAGTCGCCTAGGGGGCCCTAGTCGCATGGGGGGCCTCTGGTTGCATGATATTGAGGCCCCTGCTCGCCTGGGGTACCTAGTCGCCCAGGGGGCCCCTGGTAGCCGGGGGGCCTGGTCGCATGGGGGCCCCTGGATGCCTGGGGCCCCCGGTCGCCCCTAGTCGCCTGGGGGACCCTGGTCGCCTTGAGCCCCTGGTAGCCTGGGAATTGGGATCCCCTGGTCGCCTGGGGGCCCCTGATCGCCTGAGGGCCGCTGGTCACCTAGAGGGGCCCTGGTCGCCTGGGGGCCCCTGGTAGCCGGGGGCCTGGTCGCATGGGGCCCCCTGGTCGCATGGGGCCCCCTGGTCGCCTGGGGGCCCCGGATCGCTTTGGGGACCTGATCGCATTGGCCCTTGGTCGCCTGGAGGGCCCTGGTCGCCTGGGGCAGTGGGGGCCCCTAGTCATCTGGAGGACCAGGGGCCGTATTCACGTCGACTTCGTAAGTCGATTTTCTTTCGTAAGTATAATTTGGTATTCACGTCGACACTTCTTAAGTTTTTATCGACGGAATTCACGTGAGCAAAAAAATTTACTTAAGAAGTAGGTCAAACTTAAGAAAATTCTTACGAAAATGATCGACGTGAATACGGCCCCTGGTCGCCTGGGAACCCCTGGTCGACTGGGGGCCCCTGGTCGTCTGAAAGTACGCTTATCACCTGATTGATCCCAAATCATCTGAGTGGCTACTGGCTACTGGCTACTGGATATAAGTAGTGACTGGAGTAGGCACTCATCTGAAGGAGCCAATATCTTTCACGGTGCCGGAGATATCACAGAAAAACAAAAAGGCTAAACTGAATACCCCCAACCTTGGCCCCAAAGGCGTCATTGGCTAACACAGGGATGTGGGTCGATTTGCAATCGCATTTCCTCCTAAGTCCTATTCCTCCAATTAATACAGAGTGTCCCAGAATTACACAAACATTTATTTTCTGGCTAAAAGTACAATTGCGCTCGATTCCTAGTGAAACATATAATAGCCGCGTTTACATAGGGCTAGTTGCCAGATAGTGGAATTCCGATAACGAGACACTTATTCCCCACTATTATATTATATACCTACATATCCGGAATTGGAGGATGTTCAGTAATTGAGGCGCTCGCTCATAAAATGCTGTGCGTTTCATGCAGACTCAAGCAAAAATATTTTTACTTTCCAATTTTCCACATTTTCTCAAGGCTTAGACCGTTACAGAGACCGTTTTAGTTGACTTTGATGAAGTTGAACGCGAGAAATCACAACCAAATGCTACATTAGGTTGTAAAGAACTGAATTGCGTTTTCCCACACACGTGGCGTTTTCTCACCTACGTCTGCAGGAGAGACCGGACCCACTATGCCCCCCCCCCCCCACCATCGAAAGGTTCTTCATGACTCCCGGGGGCCCCCCGGGGAACCTGGGGGCCCTATACACTGTGGGGGGCCCCTTCGAAAGCAGGTGGCCCCCTCCTGGGCGAAATCCTGGGTACGTGCCTGGGTCCTGAAGGCTGCGATTGCAATCCTGAAAGTTTTTTTTTGGACAATGTCCACTGTTCAGCCTTTTCAGCCCGTCCATCCGAACTTATTGTTATTAGGTGACGCCAAAAACGCACGGCTAGATCCACTATTGCATGCCATACGTTTCCATTATTTGCATAGAGATCCGCCATTTCGCCTCCGTAAATAGTAACAGGACAGTGCGGCCGCTCAGCATCTACCAAAAACTTCAACGAACCAGAACATTCTTCCTCATGTTACAAAAAGGAAAGAAACTTCCACCGCCGCCGGTGCCTGTTAAGCAGCACAGAGCAGACGGATCTTAACCCTCGCACGACCAGGCCATTTCTCATAACACGAACGACCAGGGGGGGGGGGTTGTTACGACCCCCCCCCCTGGCGTTTCGAAACGGAAGGTCGTAGAGCTTAGCGGAAAAAACCAACGGATTGCTCTCAACGAGATCTCGCGATTGGTGGTATATTTTTTGGTCCTAGGTCAACATTTGACCTACTTTTGACCGGTCAAAGGTCAAATTTTCGGAAAAATAGACTTTTTTCAACTTTCGGCGGCGATTGCGGCAAAACGGTGGGAGATATCGACTTAAAACCTTCACTATCGTGTTCCTTGATCAATTCTCTATCGTTTGGTATGTATTTCGTTTCCCTAGCTCTAAAAATGGCGCGTTGGGAGCGCCGGAAGTCGGCAAGGTCACAGTCGGCGGCAGAAATTCGAAAAATCAAAATTTAAATTTTTGAAATCTGATTGCATTTTTGGATTTGGGAGGTCCATTTGCTCCCTATAGAAGCTAATATTGCTGCATATTCCCATTGAGGTGACAAGAATTAGCAAAATAGTGGTTCGGGCGCTTTTCAAAAATAGTACCGGACGCTGTTCCTCTTGTGACGTCATAGCTCCGTGACCTGACCTGACCCGGTCAAATTTCTTATACCATATGATAGCCAATACTTGCCCCAACATGCATGGGAAGTTTCATCACGATCCATCAACTGATGTCCGTACCACCGGCAGGAAACCTCGGGCGTTGGCACTCAGTTTGTGAAAATCCGGCCGGAGGCTGTACCTCTTATGACGTCATAACTCCGTGACCTGACATGACCCGATCAATTTTTTTTCGGCAAAAGATGCGCAAAGGTTGCCCCAGAGGGTATTGAAAATTTCAGCCCGCTACGACAAGCCGTTTAGCGTGCACTTCGAAAAAACCTCAGGGGGAGGGGGGGTTGATACAACCCCCCCCCCCTAGGCGTTCTAGGGTTAACCCTCGCCGGCCGAGGGGGGGGGGCGGGTGCCGCCCCGCCCCATAGGGTTTTTTCGCGATAGCTCCGACCACGCTGGCGATAGAGAGCTGAAACTTGGCATAACTGATCTTTGATCCAAGCCGGATCTTTTGACACCAACCGCATTTTTGGGTCAGGTCAGGTCACTGACCTATGACGTCATAAGTGAACCTCTGCACGGTCTTCAGATGTCGCAACTTCGCAACGCCCTCACTGCCAGAGGAGATGTCACAGGGAAATGAAACTTGCAGGATCTAGTATCCATTATGAGTCCCACAACTTGTATATCTCGGATTTTTCCTAAAGGTCATATGAGGTCAGGTCATTTTCGTGACCTCACCATTATAAGTCAATGGGGAAAAATTCAAACTGCTATTCTGGCGCCGGGAACGATCTCCAACTATCTCAAGCACACAGAATCGTGATTTGATGCACTCCTTGCAAGG